AAACTAGAGACCCCAAACGTGTTCAAGTCTATTCGTCTGTATATCCAGATAGAACTTCCAAAATGCAGCGTGTTGCGGCATTGGCCAGCTGACTGCTGGCATCTGTTTACTGTGTCATTAGTGATGACGCAGCATCCGTTCTAACCTGCAGAAGTCCAGTAGTTTATGATTTCACTAACGTATGACGCAATGTTGCTGATGTCTTACAACCTGCTACTCTCTTTTTGCAGTCAAGTTTTTGGAGGTCATCAAGCCTTTCTGTGCGGTCTTGCCAGAAATTCAGAAACCAGAAAGAAAGGTATGTGAAGCTAGATAATTACTTTGCGTTGGGTCTGTACTATGCATATATGAATGAGACTGACGTGTGCTAATTTATTTTATATCTTTGCAGATTCAATTTAGAGAAAAAGTACTATGGACCGCCATCACGCTATTCATCTTTCTGGTGTGCTGCCAGGTTAGTATCTGCTGATAAATCACTGACAACTAACCTACTGGTTCGGTTAGTGGTGATGGTGGTTTATAACACTGTTTTACATGTTTTTCTCTTTATTTAGATTCCTCTTTTTGGCATCATGTCTTCAGATTCAGCAGATCCTTTCTACTGGATGAGAGTAATCCTGGCGTCCAACAGAGGTGCTTAATGTTTATGTTTAACATAATGTGAAAACATCACAGAGTTCACTTCCTGTGCAGCTCCAGCAAATTGAACTTCTCAGTCATAACAATGTCATAAGTCAAAGGTCAACAGATCTTAAGCATATTTTTTTCTGGTGTTGCTGCCCTGGTTGTGCTGACTGAGGATTACAACGTCACTAATGCTGTTCCCCTCCAGGTACTCTGATGGAGCTGGGTATCTCACCCATTGTCACCTCGGGCCTTATCATGCAGCTGCTGGCTGGAGCCAAGATCATTGAGGTGGGAGACACTCCTAAGGACAGAGCCCTTTTCAATGGAGCTCAGAAATGTGAGTCTGCTGCTCACTACATTTGCTGTTTTTAAACCTTGCCACGTGCCTTTTGAAACTGACAATTTTTAGTGTGCTTTGAAGACACCACACAATATTTTAGGAACGTCAGTAATGGCTGTACGCGTAAGATTGTCAATAGCAAACACTTCTTTTTCCTTGTCTTTTTGCAGTGTTTGGAATGATCATCACCATTGGACAGGCCATTGTATACGTTATGACTGGCATGTATGGAGACCCTTCAGAGATGGGTGCTGGTATATGCTTGCTCATCATCATTCAGGTTAATACAAACCTCTTGCTGCAGTCCTGCCATAAGTTTGTAACTTTAAACACACAGAGACATTTCCAAACTGAAATTATGTTCTACCTTAATTATGCAAAGACTGAACTTATCTGCTAAGATAATATAAAAAACAGTAAAATTCACATCCTCTATAGCAATGTGTCAATCAACCTGATTTAGTTGTCATACATAAAATCAACTATTGCCTGAGGCACCGAGGGATTGAAAATAAAACATGTTAGCTCTTGTGTAGTACATATTTTGCTTCACATTATTTTCAAATTGATTTTCACATATCTTACTATTTGAAAATAAAATGGTAAACGTCTCCCAACGTGGGAGGCAGAAATTTCAAAATGCAAACCCTGCCTAGTTGATTTTGACTTTCCTAAGGTTTCGTTGTACAAAGCTTGCTGTCTGCCTGAATCTGCTCAATACAAACCTCTTGCCTGTTTCTTCAGCTTTTTGTTGCAGGTCTGATTGTCCTGCTGCTGGATGAGCTGCTTCAGAAGGGCTACGGTCTGGGCTCTGGTATCTCTCTCTTTATTGCAACCAACATCTGTGAGACAATCGTCTGGAAGGCCTTCAGCCCCACCACTGTCAACACAGGCAGAGGTATGGATACTTGGAACGAGCACATCTTATCGCTGAGTCACCATAAATTAGATACATCTTCATCCGTGTTAAGACGGCTAACCCTTTGGCTTGTGTTTTCTATGCAGGTACTGAGTTTGAGGGAGCCATCATTGCTCTATTTCATCTTCTGGCCACCCGCACAGACAAGGTGCGCGCCCTGAGAGAGGCCTTCTACCGACAAAACCTACCAAACCTCATGAACCTCATCGCCACCGTCTTTGTGTTTGCAGTGGTCATATACTTCCAGGTGAGCAGGCCAAATAAGTACAGTCCTTACCTGCTGTTATTTCACTAAAAGAATCTGGACAACATGTTTTGAAGCAGATACCAGCATACTGATATATGCTTGGTTACCTTAACAGGGTTTCAGGGTGGACCTGCCCATAAAGTCAGCACGCTATCGCGGTCAATACAACACCTACCCCATCAAACTATTCTACACCTCCAACATTCCCATCATCCTGCAGTCCGCCCTGGTCTCCAATCTCTACGTCATTTCCCAGATGCTCTCAACGCGCTTCAGCGGCAACTTTCTCGTCAACCTCCTGGGAACCTGGTCTGTAAGTATACAATGGGTTCTTGGCCTCCTGCACATCTCGTCTCAGTCTTTTGTGACATCTTTTTAAACCATTACTTTGTCAGTTTACTTTTTCTTGTTTTTTTCATAAAGAGTGTAGTCAGTGTGGTCTATTTAACTCACAAATTGTCAGTGTCTTACCATCAGAACCTTGTTTTGTTCAGGATGCCACGAGTGGTGGACCAGCCCGGGCCTACCCAGTGGCCGGTCTCTGCTACTACCTTTCTCCTCCAGAGTCGTTTGGCTCTGTCCTGGACGACCCGGTTCACGCTGCTATCTACATTGTCTTCATGCTCGGCTCCTGTGCCTTCTTCTCCAAAACCTGGATCGAGGTCTCAGGATCTTCTGCCAAAGATGTAAGTCTGTTTGTAAAAGCATTTGCGCCTTGCTTTTGTGTTCGTCCCTCGTGAAATGAGCCTGCTCATATCACTTTGTGTGTCTCAGGTGGCGAAGCAGCTGAAGGAGCAGCAGATGGTAATGAGGGGACACAGAGAAACCTCTATGGTGCATGAGCTTAACAGGTACAACGCAACCGAGTCTCAGGTTTCATGTTTGTTACTTGTAGCATATTCAAGCGGCACATATGAGATGTCCTCCTGAAATGCTACACATTTGTAATGGCTTCACTCTTCACAGGTACATCCCCACAGCTGCTGCCTTTGGCGGCCTGTGCATAGGAGGGCTGTCTGTCATGGCTGACTTCCTGGGTGCCATTGGTTCGGGTACAGGAATCCTCTTGGCTGTGACCATCATCTACCAGTACTTTGAAATCTTTGTGAAGGAGCAGAGCGAAGTGGGCAGCATGGGAGCACTGCTTTTCTAGAGAAATACCAACCTACTATCACACATAAGAAACAAAGCATCAATCCCCACATCAAGTTTTTTTTTATTTTGCTACTTTCTTCTTCTTTTTTGCAAATTGCACAATTGGTGCATTTTGTTACTGGGATAGGCAATCTGTGTTTTCTCCTTTTGTTTACCTCTGCCATGTCAGTGCTGAGAGAACCATTTTGCTTACTCCCACCGTTGAGCACAGCGTTGTGCGTCTCCAGTCCTTCTACTCCAATAGCTATTGCCCATCTATCTGCAGGCTGCCTCTGTACCCACTGACTGTCTTATCCGCTGAAGAATGCTTACAAGCACACACGTGTGAGACGTGTTCGTTGCAGCATGTTCGAGGAACACTAAGACAGCGACACAAGTTGGTGCTTATTTGAAGCTGAAAGAACTTCATGGACCTTTTGGGGAAGATTAAATCAAACCATGACATGTTCATCACAAGTAGCAATCATGCTTGAGGTGTCTGGGGCCCCATTGAAGGATGTGAGAAGTATAAATATAATATGCTCATCCTCCTAATAAGGGTGCTTGTAATCTCAGACAAGCTGTCTGTGGTTTTTTCTTTACCTTTTTGTTTTGATATTTTAAATGACGGACTATGTTTATATTCACTCTGGTCTTCTGGAGGGCACAGTGTGTCCTCCGTCCTCTGGGTCATCAAAGGAAAGTGGTCGTCAGTGTCGTCATGCTCTTTTCTTCCCAGAATGAATCCCCGCACAATGCTGCCGAGATGGTCGGGATGAGGTGGGGTTTGATATGGATGAAAAGGGGTTTTATTTTTGTTTTTACTTTGTAACAAACATAATTGTGTTATTAAAAAAAAAAAATGGATTTTTTTCCGAACATATTTAAAATTTGTGTTTTGGTTCCTAGTGTCTTGTGCTTTGTCCTTGCATGTTCTGAGAGCACTAGAAGATACCGTTTGTTTGTCTAATGTGTAGCAATGATTTGGGTCGACACACATCTTTGTTAGTTAAAGCTGAATTTGACACCAAAGGGAAGTAAAAACCAACTTAGATCAACAGACTACTTACTTTGGCTGTTGTGCCATTAACCTCTGTATGACACGTGTTTATCATCTCCCATGAGTTGGGATTCAATAGCCTGGTTGTAGTTTAATACAGTTGCTTTAACTATAAATCACCTGATTTCCACTAGAGGTCATCGTAAAAGAGGCATTAGATAAACTTTTTTCACATAGTGAAGAGTAAAATATGCTCTAACCAGATGCTTTTACATTATAATTCTTACATCACAATCAATGTTTATATCAAATGTTGATAGATATCCTAAGAGGTTCATTCAGCTTTATTTATGTTTGGCATTTGGACTCAAATGTAGCATTTGCTAGATCTTTACATGGATGTTTGTAGCCCATCGGACTGGGATTTGGGACTCATCACATTCAGTTTGCCGAACGCAGCTGGCAGATATGAATCATCTGAACAGGGAAGACAAAAGAAACATTTCCCCTGATTGCTTCGCACTAGAGCGATGTATAGGTTTTCAGGTTAACTGTCACTCATGACTCACAGGTTATTATGACTAATAAAACCAAATAAGCAACTCAGTAGGTACAAATTGTAATATGACATTGATCAACTTATTTGTCAGTTCAGTTTATTTAAGAAAGAAAGGAGTAGGTAGTATTGTATGAATTGAATAGAAAACATTTTTGGGGGTTACTGTTCATGTAAGGAGCTTGTGACGTCATTACCGTGCGCCCACATGTGACCGGAGCGGTCAGATGTCTAAAGGGCTGTCGGACGCCGGTAGCTTGTCAAATGATATCCTTGCAGAGTGATTCCTCTCACACTGGTCTTCTTTTATCACGAAGGGCGACGGACCAACAACACCGGAAGGAATGTCGTACTGCAAGCAGGAGGGTAATTTCAGTTTTATTTCCTTAATTTCTACTTCACGGCTTCCAATGTCATCGAGCGACAAACCATGCTAGGCTAACGTGTAGTCGGCTAGCTCCGTGGCTAGCGACGAGGAAAGCAGCACAGGTGTGTTTATTAAACTATTTTGCATTGTGATGACATTAAAAGACTCGTGGCCGAACTCATTTAGCTAACAGTTTGTCCAAAAATGTGAGCAACTGTTAGCTCTGGTGCTGACCGTACCGTCATAGCAAGTTCACTGAGCGCCCTCAGGGGTCACTGTCAACCGCGGGGTCCAGCTGTGCTCCCCGGCAGCAGGTGTTCGACGAGGTTCTCTAATCCAGGGCGATGTGTTTCTGTCAATTAAAGGTAAAGATCGCATCATCTTTGTGACCAAGGAGGACCACGAAGCTCCCAGCAACGCTGAGCTCATCGCAGACGACCCCAATGATCCGTATGAGGAGCACGGTTAGTTCTTAAGGCAGCGTTTACCCGTTACGTCGACGGCTTTGGGGTTGGGTTGGGGGGACACGAACTCCACCGTGCGTGGAGAACTGTAAACTCGCAAGGAAGCAGAGACAGAAATAACATGCTTGCATGCATCTTTAGTTTATTTCATAAAAGAACACGCTGTGTATGGACCTGTTCTGAAGGAAGGGTAACATCACGGAAGGGAAAACACTGAGTTGTCCAAACATTCCATAACTCATGAAGGTTTTCTGACGTCCCGTTTCTTCAGGTCTGATCCTGCCAAATGGAGACGTCAACTGGAACTGTCCTTGTCTGGGCGGCATGGCCAGCGGGCCGTGTGGCTCTCAGTTCAAAGAGGCCTTTTCCTGCTTCCACTACAGCAAGGAAGAGGTGAAGGGCTCCGAGTGCATCGACCACTTCCGCGACATGCAAGAGTGCATGCAGAGGTACCCAGAGCTCTATCCTCAGGATGACGAGACGGATAGCTCCTCCCAAGAAGCAGAGTCCCGCTCCGCCCTGCCGACCGAAAAAGACTCGACCGCGGCCACCTCAACAGCCGAGGCCGCTGTCTCAGCTGACGGCACGTCGCCTACAGACGAGCAGACTGCCAGCTAGGCTGAGGTCCATCGGTTATCGTCCAGGCGTCTGTTTGCAAGCACTGCCCAGCATAACTGACCCCATGTTACAGGCCGTCGGAGAAGGACTTTGTGAACGCAGAGGAACATAGCATATGTACAAGAGTTTAGGCTGCTTTTTTTCCTGAGCTATCAGAAATCATTGAATAATATGATTTAATGACTGCTGACCAAGCTGTTTGCTGCAGGGACATCAGTTGAATGACTCACTTTATATGCAATTGAAGTTGAATTTATGGCTTTTTAATCAGAATAGCTTTGTTTGTTGGCGTTCACTATATGTGTTGTTTGACTGAGATCTCGACAGTAATAGCTGGATTTGTTTTATTTGAGCAATGTTCAGCTTTTCCTAAGAAATCACCTCGACCTCTTACTATGATTTAACAGATAATCCATTTACTTTCCATCATTCGAGACCAAAAAGCAGGTAATTGGTCAGACATTTTTATCTTTCTTGACATCTTGTAGAACCATCTTATGAACATATTGACGGAGAGTTCGTTATCTGGTCTCGACCAAAGCGTCTTTTGGCAAATTCAACTGTCACTGCGTTAATGTTTTAATTCTGTCTCCATTTGGATGCTGTGGTCACTATTCACTGACATTCAGGCCTTAAAAGAATTGATGGATATTTCTCAGACATGTCCAGATTAAAATTGTGATCAAACCATTTAAAATTACTTTCTCCCTTTTTGTTCTAAAGTGAATATTTTCAGTAATTTTCTCCTTCACACAACGCGAGTTGGAATTTTATGGAAAGTTTTTCTCACTGAATTTGCCAATAAGATTTACAAGTTGAACAGTAACACAGAACCACACCAATATATTTTACAGCCTTAACTTGATTGTATTGCCTGTATCTTACTTATGTATCGTTTCCTTTCATTGAATCTGAATTATTACTGTTTTCAAAATGGTTTATATTTAATAGTTTTAAACCAAAAATAATGCAACTCAACTAGACATTCAAGCTCAGGTTTGGTCCTTCCTATATTTTCTGTATAAACTGTAAAATTTACAACATTGAAGATTTTTATTGGACCCAAATCCAGGAATTTGTTTGTCTTTTTATTTTGTCTTGCACACTCTGTTTGCATCCTTCAATGCTCTGAGCTGGATACATCCCGACTTTGACTCTGTGATAACTTCCTCCTGATGATGCAGCATATTGTCTGAATTCTTCACAAACTGAAATATCCATCTGAAATTCTCCGGAGACTTCTCTACTTTCTTTGGATTATTATTCACGCACATCCGATTCTCAGACCCTCTGATACAAGTAGACCGAGTCGGGGGGTCCATGGCACCACCGCACTTTGCATGGTGACCAGGAGACGCCCGGTCCCGTCCTCCTCTGGGCCTGCCAGCAGGTACTCCATACCTGGTGGAAAAGGTAAAACATTGTTTATGAACCTAATCCCATTACAAATCTATGCCTTTGCTGGTGTTTGTGTAATATTTTAATTACACTTGTCAATGTTAAGTCATCTTTTAATAATATAAGGGTCAAAATGATGTACTGTGCTTAGGGTACCACATAGCCAATACATTTTCTCTGCCATGCAAAGTGATCTTACCCCACCTGGGTTTAGAACTGGACAGGTACAGCCGCGGCTGGTCCAGGACAGAGGATAGATACCAATGGTGCCCAAGTAGAGCGGCAAGTTGCCTGATTGAAGGACCTTGCGAACGTTGACCTGCACTTCTGCGTGGCTGCCTTTGTCGTGAGCAGACAGCACAATGGCCTTGATGGCTGTCGTGTGCCACACAATAGAAAAGAGAAGACGGCATTTTGAAGCACGTTTGGTTCACACTTTATTAAACAGTTTTACAACAAGTGACGTATGTCCTACCATAGTCATGTTTGATCTTGCAGAGGTCCGACACACTTCTCAGCTTCTTCTCCTTACAGTCGCACTTCCCTGTGCACAGATATTGAGTTAAGTGCCAATCGACTCCAATCTCTATACTCCACAACGTGTCACTGTTCAGCCTTCAGCCACAGTTAATGAGCAGCAACAAGTACTACTCACCTGTGTAATGCATAGCAGACACCGCAAGCTCCTTCGACCACCGTACCTCTTCTTCTATTGTGACCATGGGGTCCAGATCGGGGATCCTCCCGCCGACGGGCACATCGAACATCTGATCATTTGAGTTGCTGCAAAAATGGAGTTAAATCTCATCAGGTCAGGGTTCATTCTTAAGGCTCTCTTAGGTCGATTTTAGGTCTCGCGTTCATGTGTAAACGGTTGAACTACGCATCTAACCTGTGCAGACACTGTCCAGTGGTTGGATCACAGTTGCGAGGACACGCACAGGGTTTACAGCGCCCCTCTCCAAAACCCCAATAGCCAGGAAGGCAGTGGTCGCAGCTTGTGCTGCCCACGCCGTATTTGCAGTGGCACTGCCCGCTTCTAGGGTGACACCACGGCCCCTCCTCTCCCGGATGAGTTGGCAAAGAGCCCTGTGGATCACACCAGCAGCCTGAGGAACAAAGACACTGATGCAGTTGTGTATTCTGCCCAAAACAGTTGTTCTTGATTGTCGAATCATGAATTTACAAATAAATGCCAGCAGATGAAGTCACGCAACAGTATGATTCCTTTGCATTGACACAGAGGTCAAATCAACTATAAATCGTCTTATATCTTGCCTTTTCGCCACAGTATGGGAACCCCAAACCCCGCCGTTCTTACGTGTGCATGCGTGGGGGGAGTTGAGGGGCAGCGCTGGGTGGCGGTGGTAGCCGTGGCGACACCGCTGGCACCTGCGCCCGACGGTGTTGTGTCTGCAGCCATCACAGACTCCCCCACTGGTGCCACCGGAGGAGAGCCACGCCCGCCGAGAGAAGTGGCAGCTGTCTGCGTGGCCGTGACACTGGCACTCTGAAGTCACGCGGCGGTGGGTGGCGTCAGAGCAATCGGAGACACGGGACACGTGCGCAAAGTGAGGACATCAGGAAGAGAGGAGAGAAAAGGCAAATGGGTGGCAGGGGAATGGAACGTCTGATATCTGTAGCCATCTTTTATACTATATCAATATAGTATATATATATATATATATATATATATATATATATATATATATATATTGTGCTGTAACCTCAGCTTTTACAGCTTTATGCCCTTTTCATTTTTACCAGGGTGAGTGTTGTGTAGTCCTGTTTGCTGTCACTTACTCCGGCACGGGTTGGACTCCCCGCTGCTGCTGTTGGCCGGCCTCCAGGGATGATCATTGTAGAGCGGAGCACACCTCTCACAGTGGTCCCCCGCTGTGTGGTGAGTACACAGGCACCTGCCAGGCACCTGGAAAACACATCCGTTACAAGTACCTGCTGTCTGAGCGGAGCTACGATAGCGAGGTTTGGAGTGTGAAGAAAAAAATCAAGCTATCAGAAAGTAGATTTTACATCTGATCCTGGCGTGTTTGCTATACAGGATTGCAGCTGTAAATGCACCTGCACTCACAGGATTAAGCCACTCACCATGTCACTGCCTCCCCTTCTGTCGTGACTGCTGTTGTGCGGTGAGCAGTGCTCGGCATGTCCATGGCATAGGCAGGTCCCCCTGGCCAGTAAAGTATAAATAGCATACGGTGCAGAAGCTGGGCTTCCTCTGGTGGATGTTGAAGTCAGAGCTGAGGCCGTGGGGCTCGTCAACTCTTTAGGGGGAATCAAAGGTGCTGCACAGGTCTGAGCTTTTAGCAGTCTGATGCGGAGATTGGTGAGGGTGAGGCGAGCGAGGGTCTCTGGACTGTACGGGTTCAGTCCTGTAACGCTGCTGGGGTCGAGTGTGCGTAATATAACCTGGAAGGAGAGCACTGAATTGAACGGTGTGGATCTGCCAAATGGCAATACGTTGGCATCTTTGTGCATATTCTCTTACCTCCCCCCTGCTGCAGGGTGCAGCGCTGGTGTAACGGGATGTGCACAAAGAGCCTGGCTGAGTGAAATCATCAGGCAAGCCAAACTCCATGCTGCAATTGTGCGCAAATAGTTTGAGCGCTTCCCAGGTCTTTCCAAAGTCCGCTGAGCGCTCAACGGCCATGGCGGCGGGCCGAGGCGACCTGAACACTAGAACTACGTGGGACAGACAGAACCGAGTCTCCAGATCCAACCGGATCTCATCCTGCTCCCCCTGCATGCCGATGCCTGCAGCTGATGCCCACCAAGTATCCGGATGCAAGAAAGGGTCGTCAGTCATGTGGGCGGATGGGTGGGGGTCCTCGGGGCAGAGGAGGTCGGGGATCACACAAGTTCTGTGGTGCAAGGAGCTGTTCCCGCAGCAGCTTGAGCGGGTGAAGAGGATCCTGCCAGTAGCCAAGTTCCTGATTGGTGGGCTGCAGGCATGGCCTTCACATCTGGAGACTGACACAGAGGTGAGATGGAGCAGAACTCATAACATGATTCAAACCAGTGTTTTTACAGTACGTCTGTTGACGGAAACGTCTTCAAAAAAGGAACAACTGCTTTCCAGTGCTGACATCATGAGCAAATCCACAGTCCTCTTCATTGTCTTACTCACGAATATTTAATTATCCAGACTTTTGTGCATGAAATGAAAACTTTATTTGTCAGCAACAGGTATGGCTTTTAATAAAATACAAATTTTATTCGCATTACAGCAGGTATTGTAACATAGGTGAAGTCATCAGTCTGCCCATTAAATAAGCAACTGCGAAAACGATACGGCAGGTTCGGCGACACTGACGAGCGAATCAAAGAAAGAGGATAGAAACGGAGATGATGATGATGATGATGATGATGCATCTCACCTGCTGCGCTCCTCGTCAGAACCAAGAACAGCCAACACAACGCCACCAACATCTGATGCCGACCTCTCCCAAGCCCATTAAGCACTCTCATCCTTGTTTCTGCTGTGTTTACAACACACATGGTGCGACGAGTCTCTTCTAGCAGAGGGTCTTGGTCCCATTATGTTCAGCCTGACTAAAGCAGAAGCGCATTTTGCGGGAAATTACGCAATGCGCAATGCGTTCAAGGAGTCTTTCCCTAATATCTTTCCTGGAACAATGTGCGGGGTAACTCCTTCATAAAGTTCAATACATTCCCAGTAACAGCTCGTGCATCTATCTGACAGAAGTGGATTCTGTGCTGGCGGACGGCTGGATCATTGGTCAGTCCAGGAATGAACGCTCCATATTTGACCACGAGATGTTTCTAAATTGGATGGATGTTTGACTTCATCCATTTTGCGCGACAAAAATGCCAATGCGATAAAAATGAGGTATCCTATTCTACGCTAGTTGATACATTCGAATGCTAATTAATTCACTGACAATCTGAGAGCTGCGAATCCCAGGGAGGCGCTTTTACGCACGGGAGAGGAGTTTGCGCTCTATTTATCCCTGGTACGCCCCGCCCACACACACACGCGCGCTCACACACGGCGGGGAGGTGGTACTGCAATAACAACAACAACCACATTACCAACAAACCGAAAGTACCCTGAATGGAGAAGATGTGTTTTTCTCCACTCTGGCCAACCTTCATCCGTTTGGGATTCTGCGAATGATCGTGCGCAGAGGAGGACAGACTCGCGACTTGCACGAGCTCATCAGCGCAGTTAATGTGAACCAGCCGCAGAGCGACCACCCGCTGCACCACTGAACAGGGCCTCATAACGGGCCGTGGAATTGAATTGATCTGCTTCTGCCCTTCGGTTTTTCAGCTGCAGTGATTCAAAAGTCCCCTTTGAAGTCCAGCAAGAGGAATCCTGAGAAGGGACACAAAATAGTCCTGAGTGGATATTTGCAGCTTGATGGGGCATTGCAGCACCAAAATAATCATACAGTTTAGAGTTGTATGTAATGCCGTGTATATTAGTCTGCCATTATTCATTATAGCTCTGGATAGTGAACACATGCTGCGATGTATGACGGTGAGAATTCAATTTAAATTCTTTTTAACTCCACACGGCTGAACATGCTGTATTTCCCCTCCGTGGAACCCTAAAAGAATAAACACCATGCCTCCTCAGTTTTATGGCTCAACTTCAAATACAACAAGGTCAGAAAATTGGAATGGACGCCCAGAATTTGATCTGTTTCCTCAAATGTCTTTAATACCATGCAAATTGTTTACAGGCACGCCTGCTTGCTAAAAAACACAATTACCAAGGATTACCATGATGGCAGTGTTTGCTCTGACAGCAACAGGAGTGAGTTCCTCTCATCGTTTTGTCCCCAACACTCCTTTTTCACACCACCATCGTCCGTCAACGTTGATTTTAAATGTATCTCCTTGTTAAAGTTTTGGTTTCCTTTTCCACCGTCTCTCAACTCATGTATCACCCCAGTAGTGCATCTTTCTTTGTTCACCCCTCGCTGGTCTTTCATCTTGCAGGATAGGAGCACTTGTGTGCATTTTGAATGGAGGGAAATCTCCAGTGTGGTCCAGCTGTGGTTTTTCTCACACCGACAGAATCCGGTTGATGCTGGCAACAGTTCACACTGTATTTATAATTCGATGTCACTGACGTTTGAGGCCGAGGTTTGCAGCAGAGCCATGAAACATTTTAGGAGCAGCTGGTCTAAGTGTAAGTAAATTTAATTTGGCTGCAAAAACACATTGCATTCTTAATTGACTAAATTGTCGCTGGGGGTAATTTTCTGTGATCGAGGAATGCAGAGCCGCCCACATCAAATAAAGTCCTTGTTTAGAACATGAAAGTATCGAGGAGGATGAACAACACGTGTTTGATTCCAAGTACAGGGAGAAATACGGCAAATGCATTCTCTTGATGTCCAGGAGGATATTTATCCTGGCCCCCATCTGGGGGAGGTCGACTACCAGCCAGGAAAGGTCACAGAGATCTCCTACCTGCCGCGTGGCTGCCGTTCTAATTGCTCCTCTTTGTCTCGTTTACAGGGCTTAATAGGGTCCGGGGGTTAGAGAGCTGGGGTCAGACGTCCGTCGCCTTACGATCCCCACTGTTTGTCCAGGCTGGTTGTGTTTGGAGCACATGGCATCACTCCACACGTCTTCTCTCAGTACTCCTGTTCTACGTGTCAGCTCGTGTATTCATCCACGTAAGAGGAGGATTAAGCCGCTTCCTTACATGACTTTACTGTATTTAGCCAACAAGATTGTGTGCGTTCATTAGGAACAACAATTGTCAAAATGTGTTGGAAAATGTGTAATTGTTGCTATGCAGAGTAGTACATGGTAGGACGTGTCATGACGTTATCCAGTGGCCACAAGAGCACCCAGGAAGTGCCATGGTTAATAGGATGTGCTTGAGTAAAGCACAGATCGGGTCAGATGGAATTATTCTGTTGAATTTTAAAACCATAAGTGCACCGTACTAATGTCTCACTGTAGATCCAAGAAATTCCAGTTTAGACAGTTAATCATGGACTTCAAATCACACAGTAATTCCTAAAACTCTTTCGCCAGTGCCTACCAGTTGACATTATTTGATTTTAAAGGTCAAGGTCATAGATCAAGAACAAAGGCCTTCCGTTCAAGTCCAACGACACCAAGAGGACTGTATTTCTTTGGGATCAGTTGTTTTGTTGCTTTAATGTGTTTTTATTGGGAGCACAGTAATTGGTGAGGACAGCTTATGAACAGCATTTCCTCACTGTGAATATTTGCTCTTTAAAAATTCATCCAGAGAAGGTTTAGTCGGCTTGCACATTTACTTATGTGAGTGTGCAAGCGTAATATGTTTGGATTGTATGTTGAATCTTTGATGTTAGAGGATGAATGACACCGATTAAGCTGTCAGACCACAAACTGATAGAGGCCAGATGACAAATCAAGACCTCAGTGAAGCACTCAAACCAATGATGTGTGCACACGCTGGCTTGTGTGTGGAAACAACGCAGACCGTTTTCCATTTATTCTTTACTAATGATTAACGAGGACGAACTTTCAGAAATATTAAAGCCGAGCAGGGGGAGAGACTCATTTATAGCTGACTCTCTTGTTTATATTGGACAACAAATGTCCCACCCAGACGCACACTCCTACTACTGCTCCCCACCCCCCTCTTCCTTCCCCACAACTGTATGACTTATCTGTTTATGATGTCATCAACTAACAAGACCAACATTTTTGCTCTGACACATGCATGTACACAAACACATGAAGTATGCACGTAGACAAACACGTGTACAAGTATGCACGTACACAAACATATGAAGTATGCACGTACACAAACACATGTACAAGTATGCACATACACAAACACATGAACAAGTATGCACGTACACAAACATATGAAGTATGCACGTACACAAACACATGAACAAGTATGCATGTACACAAACACATGTACAACTATGCACGTACACAAACACATGAACAAGTATGCACGTACACAAACACATGTACAACTATGCACGTACACAAACACATGAACAAGTATGCACGTACACATGAACAAGTATGCATGTACACAAACACATGTACGCAAACACATGTACGAGTATGCACGTACACAAACACGTGTACAAGTATGCACGTACACAAACATGAAGTATGCACGTACACAAACACATGTACAAGTATGCACATACACATGAACAAGTATGCACATACACATGAACAAGTATGCACGTACACAAACACATGTACAAGTATGCACATACACAAACACATGAACAAGTATGCACATACACATTACATTACAGGTCATTTAGCAGACGCTTTTATCCAAAGCGACTTACATTATACTGTAAACCCATGGCTTTTTCACATTTTGCCTGGGGAGCAATTAGGGGTTAGGTGTCTTGCTCAGGGACACTTCGACATTGAACATGGGGCAGCCCGGACTCGAACCACCAACCTTGTGCTTCCCAGCACACCTTCTCTAGCCCCTGCGCCACGACGACCCCAAACACATGTACAAGTATGCACATAGACAAACACGTGTACAAGTATGCACGTAGACAAACACGTGTACAAGTATGCACGTCCGTAACACATGTGTTCAACTATGCAGGTAGACCAAACACATGACAAGTACACATGTACACAAACTGATTTCTTGAAAACATCTTCGTTTTTTATCCATTCGACCACCCACATAACGAATTTGGAATGTACCACAAAAACCACACACACACACACACGTGTTACAGATTCCCCTCACTGATTCTTCCAGCACATATTTGCACACCCACTTAGATAGAACATTGTGACTTGGCTTACATAACAATTTATTTTAACTGTCTCAATCAACTTCAGTAGATTCAACGGAACCGTATTTTGGCACAGTGATAAACTAAGTGACCAAACGTACCTACCACCACGTGTGCAGTGGGTCAGAGGTCAGCACGATGCGGGTTAATACTGCACTCTCGTTGGAGTCAGCCACATGCCGGAAGCCACATGCATAATAAATCCAAACAAGGAGCTTTAGTTCTTTCACTGAAATGTGCACCCGGTGCTCAATCTTTCAATTACCCGTGTTGTCTGACTTTGGTTCTCCTCCTAAAGGTGACACTATCAAATGCAGCAAATGAGAGGAACAAATGAAGTGCAGTTGTTGGAGGTCCCGGGCCACATATCTCTCATGTTGGGCCACTTTGCTTCTCTGAGGCCCTCCCTTGCTCATTAAACAGGTTTTTTATTGGCATGCCAAAAGTCCACCTGTGAGTCATCCAAGCCATGACGGAAACCTAAATGTACAGCCAAGCACAAGGGCCACGGTTAAACAACAGTGCTTGATGTGACCGGACCAAGTCAAAAACCACATCTGCAAAGGAGGCAGCCTCATACTTGTGTCGCTAGAATCGGCTTCGGTGTCGTCACTCAGGTCAGAGGCCCTTCAAGGAAAGACGAGTGCTTTGAAAATCGCGTGCCGAAGGGTGCATCACAGGTTGTAAGTGCGAGGTGTAAATCAATCAAACAAGATGCACGTTTTCACGGTTTTCGGATGAAATGAAACAATATTTCGGTTTATTCTCAAGAAAGTTTTATGAGCCTACTGGAAACCACAGCAGGCCGTATGTTTCCATTCCAGTGTGCAAATGTGAAAAATGTAAATCCCACTGCAAACGTAAGGGTGTGCCTGCGATTGTGGTTGGCTTATGGGTTTCTGCTGGAGGTAATATGTGCAACTGCTAAGCCCTCCTGGCTTGCCCAACAATGTGACAGTAAGGGGGGGATAGCCAGTGTTTGATCCAATCAGCCAACATCTGGCCCTCAGGAGAAGCCAAAGTTAGCGGCACATGCTGATTTCATTAGTGCAAAATGGGAGTTTTATTCACAGAGACATGAGCCTTACATCCCAGTACTGGATATGTCGTGTAGAGGGAGGATGAGATGTGGATCAATAAAGTAATGGTTTTAGGATGAATAGAGGAGAGTATGAATTATACGAGTGATTATAAAAGGGACTAATATTGATTTTTCTTTAATGCTTCATGTTGAGCCAAACCTTTCATGTCAACGTATTAATCTAATGCTGGACTGCAGGAACGGGAAGTGCGAAGAGGACGAGAACCGGGTGGATCAAAGCTGTAACTAAGCCTGTTAGGATCTAATCGGTCCAACTTATCGAGGGCTGCTGGGCACATCTGTTCAATCAAGCGCGATCACACGGGGGCTCCAGAGACGACTACACAACTGCCAACTAAAAGTTGGTGGGCGACCGTGTTTTGAGGACTAACCACCTCATCAGAGGCTTGTGGTTTTTGTGTGGGTTTCTTTGGAACCTCTCTGGTCCGGAACTCCTCACTGATTTAATCAATACTATTAGGCATGTGTTACTGATTAATACGTAGCTGTGGTCATGATGGTTTGAGTGTTGAGGCCACTCTGATATGATAATGTCTTTATTTGATGTGGGTTATTTGGACCCTTGGGGAAGTCTTTCATTTGGTTTGGGCTTCCTCATTGAGTGAGGTCATTGATTTGAGACTGAACTGAACAGAAGCCAATGAAGCAGAGGGCCTCTTACTAAACATTTCAACGGGCCTGTGCTGAGTAATAACTGCTACACAGTATTAAAATCATTCATATCAAGTCATTATGTTTGACCTTTATTCTCTTCTTCCCTCTGTAAAACATTTTGCTCGTGATCTTCTCCCCCCCGAGCGGAGGTACAGTGATGCACATCACCTCCGACACCCTTGTCCTCGTGATCCCAGCCACACTAAACTTCCTCGGTGACTCTTCGTTCCCCTCCCAACCTTAATTTAGCCACTTCTGCGTGGCAGCATGTCCTGCGTGAGACGCGAGGGTTTAGAGACACATGAGACTATTCATTTGTGCTTGGCTGCCCAATCTCAGGCTGCTCTGATGGGTTTCAACTTAAGCTACGGGAAACTGACACGGTTATGATGCCCTCGTGACCCAGAAGTGTTGGGATCGATACGGGTCACTGACGTTTTCCCCCTTGTGGACACATTAGAGCTGTCATGAGTGTGATCGGTAAAGATTGGAAAAGTATGCATTCCAATCAAATTCTATTAGCTTATCATTATTTCCATTACCATCACTATCCTCACTGGGAACAGCATGGGATGTGAGTGGTCCCGTGCTTACCTGTAGAGTTCTTTGTCATGTCAAATGTCTTTGGTGGTTATGCCCATTTCTCATAGTTTCAATGATCTGTATCCCAGAGGCGCAAACCGTACACAAAATGTATATAAAATTACCATAATTATTGCATTGTTTTTCAGTTACAACTTTGTTGTACTATATACAAATTATTTTACCTGGCAGTTTTTCAGCTCTTTAAAAAGAGAGGACTGCTTGGATTGTGAATGGGTGGATTGCTTTGAATGAGAAATGGACTCACTGACCACAATCCACAAATGACACATGGAGCCCAACCATCAATGAAGTGGAATCTTTATCCCAGAAGAGACGCGTGGCAGTTAGTTTGTTACTGTTTTTTCTTATTGTCTTCAAAGGTGTTTTCACATCATCTCTTGATCTCTTGAGATTCGCCCCGTTTTCGTTTCCATAACAACCGTTGCCACGTTCAACGTTTATACTCCGGTCGGCGAGCGTTAACTTCCACTCGGAAACAGAGATTTCACGAGTCCAGCTTGACAATAATTTTGCTATGAAGAGGAAACTCCAAAGACTGCTGAATGCTTGCTAAGGTGTGTATAAAGTTGTTGTTTTGAGAAGAACAAAACCGTCACGGGTTTGTTGTTGATGTCAACGGGGGTTCTCTAAAGTTAGCACGATTTTCACAGATTCAGACTTCCCGGTTCAATAGCTCGTCAGCGAAACGTTGTTAAAACACAAACGAAACCTCGACAAGCAGCTACAGCCGCAATTGAGCAATAATTTTTACCAAAACGGACCGGTGTACGAGCTGGACGAATCACACGGGTCTTAATGTGCGCAGCTAGGGACCGTCGGCAAAGTGCAATGCGGGGAATAAAAACACATTACTGAAATATTGGGTTTAGCTTTACGGCCAAGTGTAGTGTTTTGATTTTTTTTAAATGCAGCTAACATGATTAAATCCAGGCTTCGTTGTTTGACATTAACGTTACACATAACGTTATTTCATTCTGCTAGAAGATGGAAGGTAAACATAAGCCTTGTGATGCAACGCCTCCACCATCAGGCCATCCTCGAGCTCTCAATCCCTGGGACAGACTCCCTCCAATCAGAACATCGTCTATGGATGAACAGAGGTTTTTCTACTCGGAAGGAATCAGTACGTCCAAGTTCCAGGTAGAATCACAGATTCCCATGCACGTGGCTGCTCTCTCTGATGAATATTTTATTAAGAAGCCGATGGATAACACCGATCTCCTGTTGAGCTCTGACCAAAACCATGCAACTGAGGCTCCATTTGTATTGATCAGTCCTGTACAACAGAGATCCAGCAGGGAGCCCAGGGTCATTCCAAATGCAGTGATCTCAACACAAGTAAGGATGCGATACTACTGTATGAATTGAAATAGGACATTTAATTTAAGGAGGAGCATATTCTTCATCTCTAAAATACAACATTTTATCAAATCTGTGTCCCTCACTGTTTTCTCCAGCTTCAACTCCCAAGACTCCAGATGACCAGTGGCAGCTTTTTGTATTGAAATACCATAAACCTAACTCACAGCACTTAAACAATTCTTACTTCTGCCAGGGTGGAACTAAACCCAAAGTTCAAAAACCCTACCAAACCGTTCCTGGACAGATCCCCCGCAAGCTAGCGATAGAGAGGTATGCAGTGTTTGTGTGTTCCGTGAATGGCCGAAGATTCGTTCCATTCTATTCCTGCATTTCTTGTACTGACTTCTTTCTATTGTTTATATGTATTTTCTTACAGACTTCGAAGGGAATACTTAAAGTTAGACTTTGAACAGCTTCTGGCAGAAAAGGGCATTGACCCCAATATTCTAATTCCAAGACATCCAAGCAATGGTGGTGAGCATGTGACTACAACAGACAATCCGGTATCACCCCACCTTCCCCTGGAGGTAAGTCTTTCACTACTGCAATCTTTCTTTAGCGTTTGGGTAACCAACTCCTGTTGCATTACATCAGGCCTCAGCATCACCACACACTCATCTTTGCTTTGTTCATCCTTTAGATATTTGACAATGAGGACTACGACTGCTGGACCCCAGAAGACTGGCTTGCCCTCGGCAAAGAGGAGGGATCAATTGATCTGAAACCTGTCCCTGCAAAAGCCCTGCTGCCTATAGATGACGATATTGCCTCTGGTAAAAATGTCCTGAGGAATACACTGTGTAAACAGAGATACACACTGTTTATTGCATTTCTTCATTACTCTCTTCTCTCTCGTTTGAAGTGGACCCAAATAGGTCCTCCCTGGGTTATAGCTGGCATTTGGTTGGGGTTCTTGACTACAGTAAGGAGATATGCCAGTACCTGGTACAGAAAGTTCACCAAAACAGCAAACTGACGGATGAAGAAGGAAATCCGGCTCTAAATAAAAAACACAGAAAGCGCAAGTCTGCTGGTTGGTTTGTATATTTTAGCACTATATTGACACAATATAATCTCATGATTTCTAGTTTTCTTGTCGAACCTTCCATTGCCGTGATTTTCATAGGAGTAAACACCATGATAGCAGGGGCTAAGTTCTGGGTGCCCAGGATCAGATTGATTTTCAGTGCAGAGGACCCACGAGTCTTTGTGGAACGGATTCAGTTTGCCCTGCACTTGCGGGAAAACGCAGAGGCCTTGAGTTTCTACCACTCATGTGTAGACTGCATGCCCTTCTGCAGAGGAACACCAACTATTGATACCCACACTCTGCGGCTTATCAAAACACGGGCCCTTTCAACGCCTGTGCTCAGGCTGAGAAGGTGAGTAATTTGAAATGATATCACGTGCTGTCATGCTCCTTCAAAATTATCTCTTAGATTTAGATTTAGTGTATGATGAGATTGTTGTGTGTGCAGTCTGGAGAGGTGTGTAGAGGATGTGGAGAAGTTGGTCATACATGAATATGAGCGTACAATGAACCGCCTGGTCTTGGACAAAGTTGTGGAGAGCCAGCCAGAGAAGTTTTCACACATCACCGTGCCACTGAAGGACGTACCAACTCAAGGTAAGATAGCTCGGTAAAAAAGGTTTGAGTGGAGGAAGATGAGATTACCAAAATGTAGACCCATCCAAAACCCATCAGAATCCAACCACTAGTTTGTTTTATCTATTTACAGGACGTGTTCAAGTTCCTAGCTCTCCCTATGAGAAGAGCAAAAGTCTCCTCGTTCTGAATTCCATGCTAATGGAGCCGGTGGTCTTCTCTTTATTATCTGACATATGGTCTGAGTGCAGCAAAGTACAAACTATGAGGCTGTTCAATGTCACCTCAGTCGAACCGCTACGACTGGACGAGTTTGAGCTTATCCAAACGCATACTCAGGTATTGTAGCACTGGCATATCTTTTCTTCTGCATACTTATTTTAAATAAGAATGTGAATGTATTGTTTAACCGACGCCGATGTAGCACCAAAATGGAACCAACGCCAGCGCTAAACCATTTGTAAAAGATTAACAGATCTTCTTTTAAATTCTATCATACTGGTTAAAAAATGCCTGTACGAATACCATTTACTCAAATACCATTCATTCAAATCCATGGATAATTTTGAATGTTTACCAGAAAGAGATGTGAATAAGTAATTAGGAAATATTTTTCTCCCTCTGCAGATAAGCTTGTTTCTTAGGAAGGCATGGCTTTCCACAATAGTCAACATCATCCATTCCAAACTGGCTGCTATTGGCAAGGGCTGGTACAATGTGAATGGGTTTTCCTGGGACATGTGGAAGCTTTCCAAGAGTCGCAGGCTGTTGGCCTTGGTGCGCTTGAAGCTGCAGGACTCCCTGCATTTCCTCATTCAGAATTCGCTGGTCAGCTTGACCGAGCTGCTGTTGAATGCTTGCCACAGTGTGCTGACATGTCCACGGGACCTGGCCTGGGGGAACAACCTCATCACCAGCCCCTACAAGTAGGATAGTATGCAGATACACAAGAATTAATATATGTAAACATCTTCACAAACTGTAGGGCTTGTACGCATCTGTATTTCCTCACGCTGTTCTTATAACTTGGAGTCAGTTATTCATTATATACTCGGTAGGTATATATTGTTATATACGTATACATCATTACTCATAACCTGTTAGTGTGCTAGTCATACAGCATTTTCTTCGTAATGTTTCTCCATTCTCGATACGTAGGCCAAAAAAGAACCCTGTTTTCATGGTAGACTTGGTTCTAAATGAGACTGGAGTGCATTACAGCACTGCGGTGGAGAATTTTGAGACATCAATAATGAACCTGTTCGATAAGGCCATCCTGGCCACACACAAGGTACCACAGCCTGATAAGATAAAACATCTTTTATCACCTACATTACAGAGGATAAACTTAAATTCCATCCCTCTCTTGTCTATTCTAGTTGGTGATGCGTGACTTGTTCATGGAATCCAATCAGATGCTCAAGTCAGTTAATCTTTGCGAACCAGAAGTAGTTCAACTGCGAGAGACGATCCGCAACGCTCTGGTACAAGCAGCCATACCCCTCACGGCTTATGCTGCTGAATATGAGAAATACTTAGAGTTACACAACTTGGGCATAGAGGCCCTGCTCAAGTAAGTCTGTCTAAAAATGATGTATGCAAGTTCCGCCTCAAGGTTCACGCCGAGTCCAATTTATGGTCCGTGAAGCATCCTTTCCTCATTAAATGGAGTCGTTTAAATCTTCACTGCCAGATCTTATACCAGTGCCGAACTGACAATTCAAGAATTGAAGAAAGAGGTGGAAAAAAACCTCAAAGACAAGGAGATGCTTGAGTGCTCTCTTCCCTCCTCCATCGTCATTGGTCCATTCATGGTCAGTGTGGAGGCTGTACGTCAAGCTCTCTGCGACAAAAGAACGGCTTTAGCCAATGCATTGCTGGACCACCTTACTCTGAAGCTACGCCATCGGATTGATGAGGCGAGTCATTTGTATGTTAATAAGAATACATTTGTACGTTTGTGTGTATGAATAGGTATCATTCATTTGTATTACGGATATTTGTACATGAATACAAAGTAATGCGTATCAATAATGCGCTTTGTATACATATGATTTACATTTACTTCAGTTTGAAAGTGGCCTTTTCCTTACTCTTTAACTGATTAAACATTTTCATCTTGTATGTGCACAGTTATGTGAAGAGTACAAAAAAATGAACAGAAAGCTGTTTGAAAGGGTCAACAACATTGAGGAACTGACTAAAAAGAGCGAGTGGAAAGAGCTAATCCCGGAACAGCTCAAGAGTTACCAGGTGTGCATGCATAGAATGTTTCTGTTACTTTCTATATGAACAGTTACTTTATCAATAAATCTGACAATTTCCATTCATCTGTCCACAACAGGAAGTTGTTGACCAAATCTTGTTGGACTATAAGCTAATAGAAGACGTTTGCCCGTGTCTTTCCAATGAGGATTTTAATGAAAAGTAAGTGTAAAACCATCATGCTAATGATCCGATTTATACTCTCATTTGGGGTAATGAGTGACTTGCTGGGTTCATATTGATTTAAGTGAATAGAGGAAACTTTAGTTATTACAGCGATTGCTTTTGTTACAAATCCCTGCAGGTGGACAGCTATCGAGTGGCCTCATCAGATACTCAGCCAGATGGAATCAGCAGCCGTACAGGATGCGATAGACGAGGATCACTTCAATCAAATTCAGCCCGTTGACCGGGACACATTGTGGAGGGACGGCGAGACTCTAAAGGTCAGCAGGTGTTCCACAGAAACTGAACTTACATGAACATGCAAACCAGCTAGCTCCGGCATAATCTATCTGTTACTTTTTATTTAAAACCTCCCTCTCCGGATCATGCAGGAGCCTGTTTTACATGGTCTGCCATGGCCATTTAAAGCAGTACCAATATTAGGACAATAGCATTATTATCACCACATCCTTTCATATTAAAAATGGCCATGAACTGGTTCGTGAAAAGTCTGTGAATAACAAAATATAGTGTCACTAATGCATCTCCACTCATGTCACTTGATTTTTCTGCAGAAGGAGTAAAAGCCTTTTGTACCAACGTGATGTCAGTTCATCATCAGTTCTGTTTGAAGTGAAAATGTATTGAATTAATTCAATATTCAATGTTAAATATGCATTCAATTTAATATTAAATGTATTGTATGTGACATTTGTCTAATTCAAGTTGATTTAAATAAATTACAAACAGTGTTTCATGTCTCACATTGTGTTTTCCCTGTAGGTGTTGATATAAAACGGCTGTAAATACAAATATTGTAAACAATATGTCTACACTATTATATTACCAAATACGTGTAATTCAAATCAGTTACTGAGAAAAATCAATTAAAAGCATTTGCTCATCAAAATCTTGGTGATTACAACGTTGTTACACCAAAAATATTCTTTTGATAAAATGTATTATATGTATGAATTAGCATTTGTTATTGGACCTTATTCCAATATCAAATCTAGCTATAAATGATAAAGTAAATATTGTTTACTTTATGAAGAAGATAATTACTTATCTGTAACTTACAGCCCTGTGTATTACACAGTATCGTACTTTTATTATGCAGCAACTTACAATGTTTTGACCCTCTTGTTTACACACCACACCCCGTGTGCCCTTCCTCCATCCACTCTGCATTTAGCTCCTCTCACTTTATAAATTGTTTTTTTTATATAAAATGGGCAAGAAGAAAATATTGTATAGGTACAGTCGGTTGTAGAGGAGAAGACCCTCCAAAATGACTTGAGTGACAACAATCACAATTTATTTAGAGGTTTCCTCACTGATTATTTGTTGCACCATAGACGGGTTCGGTGGCTGGCCAGAGGAGGATCTGCAGCGTGTGGCCATGTCCTGAGCTAGAAGCCAGTGTATGAGAAGAGCACATGTCTGTCAAAACAACTTGGAACACGCTTGAGACAAGCTGTGAAAACAGTGCACGTAGCAGGCCGAGCAGATTGACCCACACCTTCCCTCTCATCCCCAAAATTGTTCAGTCCATTCTTGGGGGTCCCGAGGCGTTCCCGGGCCAGCTGGGCTCTCACCAGTTCGTCATGCACGGAAAACATCCAGTGGGAGGCGCCATGGAGCCATCCCAGTTAGATGCCCCAACAACCTCATTCACGTCCTTGAGCAACGTCATGGTCAAATGATGTGGTAATATAGTTAAACTAGGAGCAATTATTAAGTCTGAACGTGTTGTTTTCGTGGGTGGATAATGAGACAATGTGCCCCCACTACCTTTCCTACATTAGATTAATTATTTTGGTATTTTTGTTTACAGTTTTGTGTGTCTCTTTGTGATTTAAGTGTTTTATTTTGCCACAGTTATTCTTTGTCTGTCCAGGCAGAGTACAGGGCAGCCGTGGCAGAGAAGTGGCTCTATTGTTTCAGAGCTAAGCTCTTTGGTATGTCGGTACAAACCCAACATCATCAACACGCCGGGAGATCCAGTCAAGTTCTGCTCCTGGTGGGTTGGAAACCGTCTTGCCGGTCGGGCCATTAGACAGTATCACGTGCGCCGTTGGACTTTAGAATAAGCATTAATTATAATTTACGTTTACCGTCATCAAACGTTGTCATTTCTATGTGCATAGATATCCTCTGAGTGGATGATGGTGGCGTTGCCTGGTACTCCGCACTGGGCTTCATTCATTGATCCAATGGATCAAAAACATGGTGAGAAAGCCGTGTGCTGATCTGAACTGCAGAGGGTGCCAGTGAGAGAATGAAGTTTCGAGATCTGAATGTATTACTTCACATTACATGTATAGTTTGTGATTATATTAGATGAACCAGTATGAAGAGAGCAGAAGCTCAACATGTTGTAACACGTGTGTTAGTACAAACACGTGTACCTGCTTTGGCTCTGTGGCAACCTGTGGGTGTACCGTTCTGTTGGGGTTACCTCATATCAGACATATCACCCACAACTCCTCTGAAAAGCGTCTTAGTGTGTTTAATCCACAGTTCGTTCATACTTGCTGTCCTTTGTCAGCCAGGAGGAGACCAATGGAGGTAATGAAGCAGAAAGAGCAAGACTTGCCATTTGCTTTGGAGAACATTGTAGAAGAGTTAGATCCTTTCTAAGCTGCCTAAAGAACACTACTTCCCGGAGGTCTTCTCCAAGGTCACACTCACACTTCACCCTGCCACCCAGGTAACATGCCTGGTATGAAGGCAAAACTCAGAAAACTCCTCCTAAGAACCAGTTAATCATTTGCACCGCAAAGTTGGGGTCATTTTCCAACTCCGCTCCACAGAGAGAAACCCTCATATAAGGGGACTCATATATGTTAAGGAGGCTTCCAAGATCAAAGATGGAGACCTCAAAGTAAAATAGTGGAAGAGCATTTATGGCCTACCTGGGCATGGTTTATCTCCCCAGACCTCATTTATGATATGGTATGAGGTATACCACTGAAGCACATAACATACACAGATAGAAAAAAAGAAAAAGACAAATGCACATACAGGTAAATCAAGCAGGCGGGACAGACAGCACATCAATGCTTGCAAACCTAAGTGGCAACAAGCCCGAGTTCCAAGATAATTCCTCAACCGGTCTGAGGGGCACGAGGATAACCACCATGCTAACAAATGCACACTTGTCTCTTTAACTTGAACTGTGCAGAAGCTGTTTTTCTGCTCCACATATTTATCTGAAGCCTTTTGAATCGCCTTGTTGTTGACATGTGCTATACAAATACAATAGCCTTGCATTGCCTAAAGAGGTGCATGTTAGTTTGCCTCGAGGGAGCCTCTCCCCCCGGAGACTGGAACACAAAGCTGACCTCATTCCAGAAGCCGTTGGTCCTTTGCTGTCTGAGGGCTGACTGTCTTCTTCAAGGCCTGCAGGACTTTGCGTCCGCTCAGCTTCATCGAGTCTCAAGTAGCAGCAGGCTCTTTCCTCTGGCCTTCCTGTGGATAGTAAAACCCATGTGTCTTATCTCTGTGTTAGTGGCCTAGATGTGTGGAGATATTAACATGGCAATACTTATTCCAATTGTTTTGGCTCGGTCTGTATCAGTGCAAACATCGCTATTAACTCTGCCGACTTCACCTGGAAATCATTTCCGGTTGTTTTGCTCCCAGTTGGCCACAGCGTTATCTGTGCCTTGTTACTCCTCCCCTCTCCATCTTTCCACAGACCTGTCTGTGGTCTTCACAGAGTCGTCCCCCTCACCTCTCCTTATCTTTGTCCCGTTCCCCCGGGCCCTGACCCGGCTGCTGAACTCTGCAAGTCTTTAGCGGGGCGTCATGAAGTTCTCAGAGAAAATGAGTGCCATCTCTCTGAGCCAGGCCCTGGTCGGGCTCTCGTCGAGGGCCTGGGAACGCTCTCTCTCTTCCGTAAACTCTCCGTCCAACCCTTTCGCACTGAGCCAGGCTCATTTGTCTCATTAAGAATGTCCACCTCTGTGCTTATTGTTTCCTCTTCTACGGTCGTAGGCCAGGACACTGTATAAGGGTATTTTGTCTTAAACTCAAGCCTTGTGTCTCATTCCGACCTGCTCTTAAGTGTTGGCACTCACGTGTTTTTGACACAACTGTTGTTGTCTTCGCATGTCACTCAGGGACCTTTGGCTGAGACCTTCATGCACTCTGCCTTCAGTGGGTCTTTTTCCAGAACTGTCACCTGGCGCCCAGCTGGATGTCCTCCCTGGAGAGACTCATGGACATGGACACATCAAACCAGTAAAGGTCAGATCGTATATGCACACGCATGCTTCACACTGTTGTGTGATAGACCGGCTTTAATTTACTTTGCCACTGTTAATACGTCCTTTACTGTGGCAGCACATGTCCCTCAACACCCCAAACAGGTGCACACGGACCTTCCAGGTGCACAAGGACGTTGTCCTTTCCATTCTCCAAAACAGAGACAATTAAGCCTCCCAGGGGAATCACGTAGTAAAACGTAGTATTGTCACGATTTTGGGGAGAAAGCGTGAGAATACCACGTTCCACAACGTAGCTATAGCTAGCCAAGACCTGTGGGCACTCCAGTTCTACAATATTTAGCTATACATTTGCAACTCATGGTACGTAATACGTAATACTACTTGTGTGTTTTTTTGCATCCTAAAATGGTTTTAAAAAAAACAGTAATTAAATGTGTAACCAACTGTAATGTAATATCTCTATTTAAGTCCAGTAGCTGAAATTGTACCCTTCAAAAGTAACACTTTGTAATCATAATTGCACGGATAGGTCATCACACTGTAACAATAACTGCTGTTTCATCCGGTTCTACCTTGCTCCTTGTGATGTCAGCAACTCTCAAACTGGAAGCCTGAATCCTAATTGCTAACTTAAAGGTCAACGGTCTTCTCAGCTTCTCTCAAATATATTATTTTTGCCACTTTACTGTGGAGTCAAAAAATCGTTTTTCATTCAAGTGTTTTCAAACAACCTGAGGTTATAGAGCATCTTACGTTTTTACTTCCCTTCACGACACATAATTGCTATGTATTTGCACACAAGTGATGCACGTGCTCTTGTAATTGGCAAGTGTAGGAAACATGAGTACTACTGAATCAGGAATTGCCAGTTTAACCCATTTGTCAGTAACTGGTCCCCGTCTCTTTTTGTCTTTCAGATATAACGCTCTGCTGTCGGTCGTCTCTCAGGGTCTCTGTGATATCGGGAAGGCTCTGAAGGGTTTAGTGGTGATGTCATCGGAACAGGAGCTTACGGCCAGCAGCCTGTTCAACAATGTGGTGCCTGACTGTGGAAAGCAAAGGCGAGACGCACTCTACAGCAATTCTCCGTCTGGTTCTCCTGTAACCGTTGGCCAGATGTTACAACCACTGTAAAAGTAGCATGAAAAGAAAACCCACACAATGAAATGCCTGTTTGCGTTTTTTTCTTAATTTTCTTTCTCATATTTTCATGTATAAAGGCGGAATGGTTTACCTCGGTTCAGTTAAAAGACAAACCTAGACTCGCTCACACTAACTCAACATACACACACATAGAGGATTGCTAAGGTAATGCACAGTGGGCCTTGACAGCCGTGTGTTTCAGTGGATGCATTTGGGGAGGAGACGTGATTTCAGTGTACAAGATGTCAATCACCAATGTCTCCCAACTTTTGAATATGTCTGTCCCTCTTCTGGCACACCCGTCTCTAAAGCCCCCCATCCCCCCCTCGTGGGTAGTCAGACCTGCTTCAGAGGATCAATTGTCTGCAGAGACGGATCTATAACGGCATTCCGCCTGTTCTCTGGATTAGCCGCTTCTTCCCCCCCCGGGCTTTTCTAACAGGAACCGTCCAGAATAAGGCCCGTCGGTCCGGCACCTCCATCGACACAATTGGATTTGACTTTGAGGTCTGACATTGCGCTGACTGTTTTAGCCCCAATTGGCTAAAAAGTACAAATTTCAGGTGTAGCAGCACATATTTACCAGTTTAAATTGACTTTGTACGATTACTGACATATGGGGTAAACTTTTGTTAGCATTCTCTTTTCTTTATTACTGTCACAGAGTCTCTTCCTCGGTTTCCTCATCAGTCTCTTCCTACCCTCAAGGTAGTGAGGTAGATTAGATAACACTTGGCTTACAACTAGTACATCAGATTTGTGAAATACATGTTTTTAGTCGAGATAATTGAACCACTGAAACTTTTGCTGAGGTGTTTTTCAGTGGGATTAGGTGTAACTCTGCTTGCGTTAGTGTTTGTGTGTATCTTACTTTGGTGCTTTTATTACTCGCCCCAAAATAGACTCCAGTTAGTGTCTTGTTTCACGAAGCATCGGAAACTGCATCTCTGTATTTTCCACTCTCAGCACAGTAGCCAGCACCTTGTGTGCATGGCAGACTTCTCAGAAGCACTTGACTCAGTGTTGTGATAGAAAACAAATTATTTTGTGTTTCTTTGTTTGCCGGCTGTAGAGACAATCTTCTTCTGGTTGAGGATCTGCGCGTTGGGGTAGAGACTATCTACAACCGGGCACTCCACCAACTTCGGGGACGGCAGTGGAAGTGCCGACAGATCGGAGCCGGAGACACCGGATCCAACTGGACTATAAATCTGGTCAAACAGGAGAATGCCAGAAAGCACCTGTCTTCATACTGTTCATTTGTTCTTCAGCCCACCACGCTGATTGGAAGGTCCATCAGATATAATCAAATCAAAGACACGTGTCACTAGAAATGAGCTCACTGAAACTGTGTAATAAACAGTTTTTCCCAATTGAGTGTAATATTGGTGGATGAGGTTAGAGGCATCTCGTTCCTGTGGTTTCCCACCTGCTGCATTGCTCACGGTGATCTCTCCTTCCAGCTCTGCTCGTTCTCCTCAGTGCTCACTGGCCACTGAGCTCAATATACATCCGGCTCCTTTAAGGGCTTCCACAGATGGGAAACACGGCGGTATTAGTAGAAGGAGGCGCCTAAGCAAACGGCGACAGTGACCATGTGACCACAACTAAAGGACTGCAGATTACCGGCAAACTGAGATCAGCAGAATCAACTGAATATCCTCACACAGCTGCGTGTCAAAGACCTTTCTAACTGGAATAGATTTTTTGGGGGGGACATTCAGCTATTTAAAAATATTTTTTTAGTTTTTAGTAGTTTTTACGGGTTAAAAGAATAGTTTCGGCGGGTACTAAAGTTCCGTGTTGGGCAGCTCAAACACATGGATTTTTTATTCATGACCCACATGTTGTGTAGATAGAGAGGAGCTACTGCGCAGGGGGTCCAAAACGCGTCCGCGGTGCCAAGGACAACCAGACGCGCCGATTCCTCTCCAGCTTTTACGCAATCCGCGCAGCGCGGCGCGCACGTCGTCGCATTTACTTTGGTCTTTCGTTTTTTTTTCTCACGCTTTTTTGTCTTTCCTCGGGAGTACCGCTGCTGACGGCGGCTCGGTGTCGACATGCTGCAAAATGGAAACGGAAACGAGAAGCCGCTGCGAGCGCCAAAAGCCGAGGCAGAGCCGGACTCCCCGGCTGACGAGGCGAAACTGCGGCAGCACACTCCCCCCGAAACCGGCGCACAGGACCCGGGCGGCGAGTTCACGCACTTCCCCTTGCCCGCTTACCCCAAATTGGAGATAAAGCGCTACGCGGTGACGGACGATTACAAGATCTCCACTCAGGTTCTGGGCTTAGGGATCAGTGGCAAAGTGCTTCAGTGCTTCAACAAGAAGACTGGAGAGAAGTGTGCACTGAAGGTACTGATGTCACCGACTGTGTTTGCGTTATAAACAGGGAAGTAGACGCTAGATCCCTTCAATTTACGCACATTGCGCATAAGAATTTAGCCCAGTCAGGACTGAGATACACTTTAAGCGTTGAGGGGGCCAAATAATCCCGGCTGAGGAATGATTTGATTTATTTTGATTTATTTGTTTTAGTCACAGTCCAAAGCTAATCAATTTAGACAGGTGCAGCGTGGACAGGCATTTTAAATGATGTGAAAGGGCGTTTCCTGTTTGGGTCATAGTGCCACCTTGACATGGAAAGGTGTGACGGTTAATGGAAAGTGAGTTTACCGATGAGTCTGTTGCCCAGATTAAAAACCGTTTTCCCTTTACAGAGGTCAGATTTCGGTCTCACACACACACACACACAGGACTCACACTGACAAACAAAATCCATCTTCTTGGGCTTGAATTATTCCCCATGACTTTGTTCGGAGACCTAAACTCCAGACTGTGGCCGGTTTACCTGCGCTCCAAGTGTTCAGGTGTAAGTTAAAGGCCGCATGGTCAGCCGGCCATATGCTGCATTAAATCTTACGCTGCGTCATGTGAGCATGTGGATTCTTGGCAGTGACATCTCACACGGGAAGAGGCACACGAGCTCGGGTCGTCAGGCTGTCACCACCGGGGCACCGACGTAGAGATTTACCCGCCTACAGTAATCCACCTGGATCTGAGCGGCCAAACCAGGAGACCCGGAGTCCGGGGTCGATCGGGAAACAGAGGGCGTGAGAGAGAGTGAAGTGCAGCAGACAATAGAGACTTAACAGCTAAAGATGAAAGACCAAGAGGAATAGGAGGCTTGATAGTGTCATTTCAGACTGAGGGAGAAGAATTGACAGCAGGGAGAAAGATCTCCGGGCTGCTTGCTTAATCGTATCTGAGATTTAAGCCACAGCACATTAAGTGGTCGTAGCAGAAACTTCTCGTTGGCTGTGAAGCAAACGTGTGTTACTCTGTGAAAATGTTCTTCTGTCTGTAGTCACGTAACCGCTGACTGCATCCGTAAAAGACTCCAGCTTCCATCAGAGGAACGCTGTGGTCGGTCAGGGTGACCCCAGCTTTGTAAAAGCACCATAAATCCACCACTCTCAGCATCTGAAGCCCCTTTGATCCTGGAGAACACTGGTAAAAGGTTCGAGAAACAACAAAAGGAAATCACAACTGCCTTCTCTTTAATATCTCTTGCTGGCAGGTGTTTCTCTGTAGTGGATTGTACCGGACATAGTGTGCCTCATTTCTTTCACTACATTCCAACTCAAGCTAATTTACCACGTACATATATTCTTTTTAAATCTAAAGACCAAAAAAAAAGACGGCCAAATGAAATAGTCGATGATGGGACTTGGGAGAGCGGCTCAGCTCACTGGCTTCTTAAATGAAGTGTGGCTCTCAGCACTAAACGTAATGGATGGGCATTACGCAGACGCGTAATCCACTTTGCAGCAGAGCCAGAGGGGAGCCACCCCGTTAATGTGATTCCGTTAAAGTCGTCGGGATTCTTTTAACTTGGATCTGTCTGTCTCCTGGGAGGAGCCCTCTCAACACTCCCATTGACCGTTAATACCTTTGGAGGCACGTATTTGGAGGCCGATTGATCCATCTTTGCCCCTGAAGTGCCTCTCTAGCACACGGAGAGCTGCGCGAGCTACATGTGCGTGTTCTGGTCATTGCATTGCCAGTTCATGTGTTTTCGTGTGTGTGTGTCCACCTCGCAGGCCTTTGGCACCATTGTGACACATCTGGATTTCCTCTGGGAGCCGCAGACACACAACTGTCTTGGAAAGAGTTTGGTTAGACTCCTCAGGGTAGAGATCGGGTGTATCCAGTCTTTAACCGGGGCCGCCGGTTAAACAAGTTGTCTCCCTCAACCCTCTCAAGCTTGTTACCCTCTTCTGGTTGAGGGTCTTTGCGTTGGTGTCTGTATTTGATCACTGCTTGTATGTTCAGTTTATACAACACAGACGAACCTAAGATTCCATTTAAATATGAAAATCTAAAATAGCAATACAACACATTTACATACAGGAACACATACACTCTATATGCAATGCAAAAAAGGTTATTGGTTTGCATGATGAATATAAACAGGCCAACAGGAAGGATTTCACTCACGTGGTTTTCATGGTTCAAAATTGTTGTTATTATTTTTAATGGGATTTTGATATATATTTTCGAGCCATAGTATCTGTTTGGCTCAGAGACGAGTACTGTTGGTTGGTCTGTTCGACTTTAGTCCAGGCTGAAGTATCTCAACCAAATTTGGACGTGTTAACATGAGGTCTAACACACATTCATGGTCCCCAAAGATGTATCCTCCAGATTTTGTTAGATTCCCTGACCTTCCCTCTAGCAACATCACAATGTTGACATTCATGTTGCCCTTTGGATGGATTGTAATAACTTATTATCCTTATTTTACGACACCAAGGGTTTAAAACTAAACACTTGACATTATAAAGCCATTCCCTTCAGCCTTATTTGCATTTTGTGGTTGGTGCTAAGATTGATTTTATTATCTCTATCCTGTCATAACTCCAGTATGACAAATGTTTTATTGCCGCGTGGCCTTAGTAACCTCTAATACATACTGTTATAGACCATCATTAGGTCATGTCAACACCCATTGATAAACTGTATAACACTTTGATGTGGACTTTATTAGCAGCTGCTGTAGTAAAGATAAAGATATTATCAAGAGACAGAGCAGGACTCTCTGGGCCACTAATATGTGAACAGGTTGAGCCATATAAGTGTGTGTGTGTGTAGCTTCAGTTGAGAGGTAATTTAAATTTACCATGTGGGGGGGGGGGGGGTTATAGTCAGAGCTCTGATTGGTTAAGAGAAGTGTGAGGCTGTGGTTGGAGATTAGTCTTCATGATATGGCCTCACTTAAGAGTCCACCAGACAATTAAGTGGGTCCCCCCCAAACACCCCTCCCCTAATGTTTTATGTTTGTATTTAATCCAATACGGTCGCCTTTTATTGCAGCCGACTCTGGTTCAATGCAGGAAATGAACGAGACCGGCTCACAGGCTATCTGCTCTGTGTAAAGTCATAAAGCTCTAAATGATGCAACAGACAGAAAGCTTCCTACTCACTTTCTTTACACAATAGGAAACGTATGTATGTAGTGGTAGATCAGACAAATAAGTCACCGGAAACTCTCAACTTTCCACAGACTGCTGCTGTGAAACTCGGCTCTCGCTTCCTCTTTGACATTAGCGAGCTAAAGCGCACTCATATGGGGAGGTCTAATGTTTGGGAAGGACACCTTCTTTAACCTCCAGGCTTTTCATAAATATTCTTTTCACATTTTGCGAAGTCATCTGCTAGGGTTTGGTGACTGCATGTGTGTGTGTGTGTGTGTGTGTGTGTGTGTTGTACATAAGTTAGTCAGCCTTTTGCTGTGTTATCCATGTCAGGCTCAGGCCTGGGAGGAGATCTCTCCATTCCAACCGCAGGAGATCACTCCATTCCTGTCACATCCAAAAATACACCCTGACTAAAGAAGTGTGCTATGTCAAGGTCCCCCCACCTGCTGCCTGTGCGTGTGTGTGTGTGTGTGTGTGTGTGTGTGTGTGTGTGTGTGTGTGTGTGTGAGTGACCCTATGTTAAACACACATCCTGTCAGGTCACCAGGCCGCCCTAGTTGCATTAATGGCGTTCTTTATTGAGTGACACCTCATATTATCATTATTATTGGACCACATAAGTCCAAATGTATGGTGTGGGTCACAAATAGTATGATTAAATAACATGTAATTGCTTTGTTGCTGACCAAATGAGACATGACGCAGTAGACTATATTAAATGCTCTTTTTGTGTGGTTGTGTAGAATCTAGTAGTAGAAACCTAGATATGTGATCAATCCTGTCACACACTAAAAATGACTAATTAAACCTAAATGTTCATCATATCACATCTCTGTGTCTCCCAGATTCTCTACGACAGCCCCAAAGCCAGGCGAGAGGTGGAGCTGCACTGGCGGGTATCCGGAGGGCCGTACATTGTTCGCATCATCAGCCTGTATGAAAACATGCATCACGGGAAGAAGTGCCTGCTCATCATCATGGAGTGGTACGGGTCACATTGCACCAGTCTACCCATCACTTTATACACTGGGGACACTTTGCCTCACGAAGATCTACTCCCTTGTGTCTCTGTATTTGGTGACATTTAGTGCAAGTTATTGGATAGACGTAATGATCAAATTCTGGATTCTTCAAAAAATGTTCAAAATTAACTAGAAAATTTTATTAAATTGGAAAGTGATGAGTTATTGAGCTTCGTGTTATTATCAGACTCAATCTAGTAACAGAGCTTCCAATGACTGCTCAGATTCCACAGGATTCCACTGGAACATTTGCCTGGTGATGAATAAAGAGCACAGACTCTGTAGCGACATCCCAACATATTTATTTCAGCAAGGTGCTGCTGGTACATATTAATACACCATGTGGGATGCTTGAATTACAAATACCCAGATCAACTCCTGTGTGTGTGTGTGTGTGTGTGTGTGCGTGTCTATGTGCGTGTGCGCATGAGATCGGGAGAGCTTTGATGTGTATTCATGTCCCTGAACTTTGTTCCTTTTATTGCCTCTAACTTTTGAATGGAAAAAAAAGCCTGAATAATTCAGTGGAAGGGAAAGAAACCACAGAGGCTGACGGCAGAGAAATGACACCTTCCTTCACTAAGAGGGGATTTCAGATAAAGTGACGACCTGCTTCCCCTCGTCACATTTAGTGTCAGGTTAACTGTGTTTTACTGTATCGAGTGACATTTGGTTGTGTGTGGGTGTGTGTGTGTGTGTGTGTGTGTGCTCTCAGTGTCACTCACTGCTTCCTGTGAGCAAAGGAGTATTGAGTATTACGGCAATACAGTCAATTTAGCACGCAGTGATACACACACACATTTCAGCTATCTTTACATCTTTGTGTCAAAACACAAGAAGCATGCTCTTAATCAATGCACAGTAACTTTCGCCCATGTGCTACTGTGCACAAACATTTTCCCGAGAGGAGTCTCAGGCATCAGCCAGGGCCATTGCTGTGATTCTGGACTTTTAAAGGATTAGCTCATAGCTCACTTATTGTGTTGTTATGTAGTTTATTATTGTCAAAGGAGTCATTTTGTTATGAATCCGCTATGAAGGAGACAACAGAGGAGACACGGTCGCAAATGATAAAAAACAGGATTATTTTACAGAATAAACCTTCAGTAGGAATATTTTGGTACTTTTCCTTCTTCCGTATTTCGGTTTTGGTTACTGACTTTATATGAACGTTTTTTATCAGATTTCCACTGACACTAATTGTAGCAACGATTTGATTGTATCAACATTTATTGCTACGATTAAAAATCACCCCCGGTGTACTTGCACCTCTGGAGTTTACCTTTTTTACACAATGACTGTGGTGCGGATGCATTATTGCACAACTTCTGTCACTGCTCGCAAAACCTTTACCCCAGCGTTTTTTCTTTTGTCATTTAAAATGCAATTGGCTACAATCCTCGTCGTTGGTTTGGCCCGAGACAGACGTGAAGGTGGTTTTCAATCCGCCACTCAACACTACTCTCATCTCAAAGATGAATATGAATGTCTGTGTATCTGCTGACTAACAACATACTTGATTACGGTTCTGAATGGAGGCTTCTTAACCTGTAGTGGATTGTTTTACCAGTACGGTTTAAGTACTTTTACTACAGTGCTTGATCTGAATACTTTCCCCTCCGAATGGAAAAGAATACCTGCTTGGAGATCACAAAAGGTTCATATATCAATGCTTGTAGGTACCTGTGATAAAGAGATGACACGATGGCCTGGATTGTCATGTGCAGTTTATAAATTGTGTGTGTTTGTGTGTCTCCAGTATGGAGGGAGGAGAGCTGTTCAACCGAATCCAGGCCAGAGGAGACCAGGCTTTCACTGAGAAAGGTGAGGACTGATGGACTCTGTGTCACAGGATGTGAGGGAGAGAGAATGAACCGTTAATAACATGGGAGAAGAAAATAAGTCGGCCATCTTGGAAAACATAAGGAAGATCATATACCCCAAATGTGTTCCTGTCTGATCCTTGATTTATCTTTTCTGTGTGTGTGATACTGGAACTGCTTCTGGTTTGAGAATGTGTCCTCCTGTTTTCCTACCAGAGGCTTCTGAGATCATGAAGGACATCGGCACGGCCATTGAGTATCTCCACCACATCAACATCGCTCACAGAGACATCAAGGTGCACAGCCATCTAATAATGTGATCCGCTCCGGGTCGCTGAAGAACATTTGATCATATCTGTTGTCATTCCTCTGCCTCCAACCCAGCCAGAGAACTTGCTGTACACCATCAAAGAAAGAAACGGGGTCCTGAAACTGACCGACTTTGGCTTTGCTAAGGAGACGACGCTAGACAACTCTCTACAGACCCCCTGTTACACGCCGTACTACGTGGGTACGTCGCTTCATGTTGTTTTTTAAAGATTCTCTTTTTTTTCGTCCAGACCCTTTGAGGGGAAGACCCTTTTTAGGAAATATACCACAATATATATAAATATTCATGTTTTATGTATATACTAAATCTTTCTTTGTGTTTGTGTTTTGCCAATAATAAGCCCCTGAAGTTTTGGGCCCAGAGAAATACGACAAGTCATGTGACATGTGGTCGCTGGGCGTCATCATGTACATCCTGTGAGTACTGGACGTACTGTAGCGTTGGGTGGGCTGCAGCAAGGCTTTCCCCATAAATGTGTTTTTATGAATTATTTTTTATATGAATGCCTTCAAACAAAGCGTTCAATGACCCGGTCTGGCTCAACCTGTTGGCCTGTGTAGGCTGTGTGGTTTCCCCCCGTTTTACTCCAACACGGGCCAGGCCATTTCCCCGGGGATGAAGAGAAGGATCAGGATGGGCCAGTACGAGTTCCCCAACCCAGAGTGGGCTGAGGTGTCCCAGGAAGGTGAGAACATGCATGAGTGTGTGGTTCAAACATTAAATGAAGTCGTAAAACTAGATGACCGTCAATTCTCGTACAGAAAACCTGCGGCTCGTCGGAAATACCACATTATGTGGTTGAAGTACACGGCGTTTAGTCTTTTCAGCTTCTTTTTTGTCTCTCCAAACACAAAACGTTGAAACTTTGGCCTCTTGTCTGCTGCCCTGCAGGTCACAGCGGCTCGTCTCACAGACTGTATTTACCCGTTCTTTCCTTCAGTTTTACTTCTAACAACAACATATGTCCATGCCCAAAACGCCCTATGAGACATCGGAGACAGATAACTCACAATACATCAGCCAGCTGGTCTCGTCCGCTTAACCAACCGCGATGACACAGCTCGGCGCCGTGCGCACGCTGTCGTTTTTGCTATTTTTTCACCCAGTGTTTTCTCTCAACGCGCTGTGAAAGTGGGTCACTCCCTGAGACCTTGTACAGCACACACACACATTACATGTAGGTTTTCTGCTGCTAACTATGTCATTATCTTTGCATTCCCTCTGCTCTTCCAGCCAAAGATTTGATCAATGAGCTGCTGAAGACAGACCCTAACGAGAGGATGACCATCATTCAGTTCATGAACCACCCCTGGATTAATGTAAGAATCAAGAACAGATGTACATTGTGTCCTTCCTGGACTGCTTCCTGTTTGTCCTTCTGTTTGCTCATACCTACATGTGTGTTTATGCCCTTCACAGAAGTCCATGGTGGTTCCCTCCACTCCGCTCCACACCACCCGGGTGCTGACTGAAGACAGAGAGATGTGGGACGATGTGAAGGTCAGGAGGTTAACAACACTGCCCCCCTGTGGTCACATATTGGCATTGCAGCCTGTTGATGTAGTTCGGTTGTCCCCGGTGTTATCGGGATGTAGGGAGTAGGGACAAACAGATAAAAAAGAAATTGGACAAAATCAATCCTCCTGAGGTAGCCTGACTTTTAGTATACTGACTTAAAAGTGTATCCTACGTTTCCCAGAATGCAACTCAAGAGCATCTTACGTGCATGCCTGTAATAGCCATATTTAACAGGCATGTCCTCTCCCTCAGTCTTTAATACTCTATCAAAATTTGGAGTCCACAGACCCAAACCGCAGAGACATCCCTATGACATCATCACAGTCAGTTTTCTCAGTGCACAAACATTTGTTTTTATTCCATATAACTGGCACACAGATTTCTATGGGTACAAATAGAGAATAGCCCCTCCAATGATTCCAATGAATAAATCCATCCATCCATTGTCAAACCGCTTATCCTGCACACAGTGTTGCGGGGGGGCTGGAGTCCATCTAGACAGGCTACACCCTGGCTGGTCGCCAGCCAATCGCAGAGCCAACACAGAGACATACAACCATTCACACTCACACTCACACATCTACGGGCAATTTAGAGTCACCAATCAACCTGATCCCCAGAGCATGTCAATATATATATATATATACATTTACTGAAATGCTTCAAACCCTTTTCACTTATCAACTTCCTGATGGTGCCGCAGAGACCAGTAGGGGGAGCCAGTGGTCCATCCATCCATCCATTGTCAAACCGTTTATCCTGCACACAGGGTCGTGGGGAGTCCATCCCAGCCAACTTCGGGCTAGACAGGGTACACCCTAAATTGGTCACCAGCCAATCACAGAGCTAACACAGAGACACACAACCATTCACACTCACACTCACACACCTACGGGCAATTTAGAGTCACCAATTAACCTGATCCCCAGAGCATGTCTTTGGACTGTGGGAGGAAGCCGGAGAACCCGGAGAGAACCCACGCAGACACGGGGAGAACATGCAGACTCCACACATAAAGGTCAAACCCAGGACCTTCTTGCTGTGAGGCGACAGTGCTAACCACCAATGTGCCGCCCCCCAATGAATATATATATATATATATATATATACATATATATATTTATTGAAATGCTTCAAACCCTTTTCACTTATCAACATCCTGATGGTGCCGCAGAGACCAATAGGGGGAGCCAGTGGTCATACACACACTCAAACACAAAGAAGCTCAGGTTCCCTCTGTTTCTGTTGATTTACACAATTAATGGTTGTAAAGAGCAAGAATGGTGTTTGCTTCAGTTGTACAATGACAAAAATCGTGGAGAGAATGACACATTCCTTCACGGCAACTGAATGAGCAGGTTTAAAGTGATAAGCTATGAAAAGGAAATGTCCTCAAAAGGATATACACACAATACGCCACTGTTTCCTTCTCCAATGGGCAATGCTACCTTGTGCAAGAGTTTCACAGATTGCACCACTTCTCAAAAAGCACAAAACGTTAGACTCTTTCCACATAGGTGCACTGACACAATTCACCTCAAACATCGAACCATGCACGATCAAGCGTTTGGAGGGTTCACGTTTGCAGAGGCGACGAGTTGGAGGAAAGAGAAGACTTCTATTCACACCGGCCCGGCCACAAATTCACGTCCCGGGTCTCTGTTCAGGTTGCCCTAGGCGTCCTGGGTCTCGAGACTCTTCGGTGCGTCCAATCCCTCCTCATCAACGTCGTCCAACGGTATCCGGCTCGAAGGACCAAAATGTTAGGTCGTAGTTATAGAAACCACGAATCCTGCTGATTACACCAGAGAACAATCGCAGCACGAGAAACAAAGACACTCAGTCGACTTGTGAGTTTTACTTGGGCAGCCCGGTCAAGAATCTTAGAGTACTAGACTCTTCACTCGATCACAGCCAACTCCGACTAGACTTCCCCATGCAGCCTCCTTTTATTTAGGTAGTGAACTATGTAAGCATGATGAGTCGACACTTAAAAAGGTCAGTAGTAAAGCAGTGATAGCAAAAGGCATTGTACACCAAACTGGGTATGTCGACTCAAGGTTTAAGACAGCTTACACCCCTCATGTGTTCAAATGTAAAGCAGTCTATTTTTACGGGGGGTTACTACGTGCCGGACTATGTATATGCATAGATCCATAAAACTGCAACTTGACCCCTAGGTACTGGTCGGTGGATCTTATGACCTTTGGACACTGCTATGCTAGCTCTTCCCCTCAGGTTTGATTCTGAATGCTAAGCTAAGCTAACCTGTTGCTGTCACCAACTAGATGTTTGCCGTGCACAAATGTGAGAGTTGTATCTTATCTAATGCTGCATGAATGGGAATAATCATATTTCCAATAATGTCCAACTATTGCATGTTTTCACTGATTAGCTAGTCTATTGATGCAGAGGGGAAAAAGAAGTAAAGTCAATCATTCGAAAACTCCCCAGCTGGAATCTTTTTAAACATAAGAGAAAATTAGTTGAGGATATGACTGGACAGAAGTCTCCTCCTGACCTTATATTATTGTATTATACTGTAAAGTATCAGCAGTGCCTTTAGTAGTGGACTTTGTGACTAGAGTAGTCTTCACTGAACCAGCACACTGTGCTCCACCTCATCCTCTGCCCCGTCCCTCACAGGAGGAGATGACCAGCGCTCTAGCGACCATGCGTGTGGACTACGACCAGGTGAAGATCAAAGACCTCGACACCTCCAGCAACCCGCTGCTCAACAAGAGACGCAAGAAGGCCGCCGCGGGGGCCAAGGGGGGCTCCACGGTCTGCCAAAGTCAGTGAGACGCGGAGGGACGTCGCCGGAGATCCAAGCCGGACAGCCGACGTGTGATGAAAAGCAGTTCAGGAGAGGCAGGAGAGGCTGATTGGTGCCGGAGAAGATCATTCACACATTTGTCCGAGACTCTTGAGGAAGTGGATGTTAAGGAAACGGTTTCTACAATAAAGAGACGGCATAGGAACGAGAACACAGTGGCAGCTGGACATTTACAAGACGTATCGGGCTGTCAGCTGTTTACTGGGGTTCTGTCTGTTTTTTATTATTTTTATGTATGTGTGTCATTTTCAGAGTGTCTGTGTGAACTGTTTCAAGCATTTTATGTTTTCCATATTCTGATGCTGTTTGAGGTCTGCCTTTTTTAACTATGCACCGCTGTGCAAACCACACAAAGAGAGACAAAGCCAGTGTGGACAGACTGGAACTAGTGCTCTCCCTAGAATTACCCGCGTGTTTTAAACGCTGTCTGATATTTCATGAAATAAATCACCTTACACTGAACCCGTGGGACTATTTTCCATGGAAGCAACAATAAATTGGCCCAGCAGATGAAGTGGTCTCCTTAATGCAGCGTGCAGCCTGTCTGCTTCCGGTCTGTGTGCGGCCAGAGAGCTTTGCGTGTCGGTGGCGTAATGGTTGCTTGAGCTAGATGGATGAGTTCTTTCACCTTTCTTGAGGTAGGTCTCGCACCTGTGTTTATTTAGGGGGGGGGATATTTAGGTGCTTCCTGTAAATAGAGGGCCGCGGTTTTTGCTCCATGTTAAAACATCAGGAGTGGAGACCTCCTCCGTCAGGTATGTCCACTCCGTGCAGAGATTGGATTTGTTCATACGGATGTAAATTCAACTTTATAGAGCAAAGGGCCATGGAACTATTGCTTTTGTCGTCTTGCCTTTCAGGCTTTGTGAGGATGCTATAAATAGCAGCGGTGGAATAGTTATTTGGGACGCAGCTATCTGACTTGGAGTTCGACTTAAAAAGGTCAACAATATTACGTTTAGATTACATGTTGGGTACCTCTCACCCACTTGGATCACATGGTGCCCCTCCAGTATTTGGGTGATGGGTTAAAGGAAGCTCATCATAAAAACTACTTGGCTTCCCTGCTGTAAATACAGGACGTCAGCCATTATTAGATGTGGCCCAAATACTGCATGACCTCTCAGCTGTTGTTTGGTGCACCGGTGTTTGAGTATTAAAAAGTTCTGAGCAGTGTGTCTGCTGGTGGAATTTGACAGTGTTTCGCAAATATATATATACTTCCTCATGAGCAGGCAGTCAAAAGTACTTTTCCATTGTTTCCCGGAGACAAGCACGGTCATGATTACAGCAGGAGTTTGTATTCGTGGTGTTGACGTAATAGTGTGTCATGAATTTCCAATTGATGTTACTTCACACACACATCCTCCCCATCATGCGCACATAAAGAAAACAGTTCTTATTAGGACAGGGGTCTGTGTTTTGTGCATAGTACTAGGTCTTATATACTAAATATCGTTTGATTGATTTAAACATCTTTTATCTTATAAGTCTATCGTCGTATTTCAACATACAGTCGGACGGGATACTTCCTGATAAACAACGTCATCGTCCTATTGCTCATGTATGAAAGCCTTAGTGGTACGTGGGTGTGCAGGCCTGTCCCTCCGGTGTGCGAGTGTACGTGTCAGTGGGATGGGTGGGGGTTTAGATCCCTCTGGCTTTCGCCGAGGAATGTTTCAAAGGTCAAAGAGCCATCTGACCTCCGGCTGCTTCTGTCCTGCTCAGTCCAGCTGGTCTAAAACTGTCTGACATCCATTTGTTTGTTCGTTCGCCTCATGGCCTCCACGGTGTGAAGAACTCGACGATTCCCTGATTTCTTTCTCTTCTCTCTTTACTTTGTGTGTGTGATTGTCTCATTCAGCCACAGATGTGCAGTTAAAGGCCTTGTGCTTGACGTTAAGTGGGAACACTTTCACAGGCTGAACCCAATAGCGTGCTTCACCCTGGCCACAAAACCTGCATCATAATAAACGCAGAACACAATTCTCTCCCATCTGATTGCTGAAACCCTGCAGCTCATTCGGTGTCAACAGGTCTCTTGTTGTCCCTCGTGTCCTTCGTCACGAACGGATTCGTTTGGCTTCCGTTGTCTTTCAACTAACCTTCCTGTAATCTACACTTTACCTTTGAGTAAACTTCTTCACCGATTTGTTGTGTTTATTTGTCGTCGTGTGCACCTGCCACACCCTGAACACACACAGGTATTTCACAAACAACTGCTGCACCATGGTTGAGGTGTGTCGAAATAAAGGGATGCACGGTAACGCAGTCACATTTTAGGAAATCTTAGCTCAATACAGATAATTCTTCAGTTTGATACGAAGGACTTTTCTTTATTCAGGACAAAAGGTCTGATGGTAAATAATTAAATATCTCTCTATCTCTGGGTGAATACTTTTACCGACACTGCAGAAAAACAAGCTCTGCAAGTTAGACTGCTGTCAGAAAACACTTGCAGTAAATGTAATAAAGTGCCTTTGAAAAGTATGATATGAAAAGTATCCTATAAGCACTGAATGTACTTCTGTGGAATCGTATTGTCTGAGATTCGCTTTATATATTATATATTATATACCTCTCCAGCAATGCAACCAGTGTCCTTAACGGAACCCTTCGCGTCACGACGGAATGGAAACAACTTAACCCCGGCCAGGACACGCGGAGACATTCCTCAATTCTCGTGGATGGTGTGTGTGTGTGTGTGTGTGTGTGTGTGTGTGTGTGTGTGTGTGTGTGTGTGTGTGTGTGTGTGTGTAAGGGGCAGGTATAGGCTGCTACCTCACAACTCCATCCAGTTTGGGAGAAACCCCTCCCTCCCCGGGGCGAGGTCCCCTGGTGTGTGACTCGCGCTGTGAGCATCAGTGGAGACCGTTTGACGCACGCTCACACCGCTCAGGCGCTGCGCTCCATCGGACGGACGCCCACGATGAGAGGCTGCTCCAGCCGCGCCAAGCTCGCGCACGGCCGGGACACGGCGGGTAAGGCACGCGTCTCCTTGCAAGGCTTCAGCACAGCTGTGCGCGCGGGGGGGCGGCGGTGGCGGCGGTGGTGTGTTTAAATTACGCATCTTTTAACCCCGGATGATGGAGGCGGATGAGGTGAAGGGATACCCCCCCCCCCCCCCCACACCCCCCTCTCACCCCCTGATGTGCTGGTCGGTGTTTTGGCGCTGTCACTGTGGAGACCTTTACTCCACATAGCGTCAAACCCCCGACTCTCTGGTTCCTTTCACAGCGACCAGGGTCGGGGAAGAAGCCAGGCGTGTGTTGTTGGACTTCTGCTCAAAAACAACAACAACAACAAAAAGCACGCATTGTACACGCTGCGTGCAGCCTGACGCGTCTTTAAACCTTATTGACATGTTCATTCCCCCGGATGGTGACGGGGGCGTTGATGACGCTCCGTGTTTCGCCTTCTCACGCTGTTTAATGTTTTTATCGTGATCGTGTTTATCGCGTTAACGGTGTTGTTTGCGTGGTCTGGCACGCACTCCGCGTTGGTTCCCCGGCTGAAGCCGCCTCTCCGACACGCTCGCCGTCTTTCTGTATCGCACCAATATTGAGAAGGCGCTAGCAGAGAGCTGCTAGCAGGCTGTCAGCGGGGAGGAGCTCGGCGACCTGTTTCCTGGTCCTTATCCAGTGTGAAGTATGCGCGAGGGCGCGCGGGGAGACTATGGGACCCACGCAGTGGGCTTTTCACCGTGCAACTTCTGCCATTTCCACGCGGCCCGTCCGATCAGATATGCTCCATCAAAAACACCAACTTGTGTGCATCCCCGATGTGCCACAGTTTCTTTCTTTTTTTTAAATATGTTTAGCGGCTACAAATACATCCCCAGCACCAGTGCGCCATTTATGGACTGACCTGGTGAACCTGGCATGTATAATAGGCCACTTGCAGTCAGGGAATTTTAGTGAGTGAGAGAGTGAGAGGGGGCTATTTCATTTTAAAAACTTCCATCTCGTCATATTTAGGTCACAGGCCCATCTCCTAAGGACTGACTCTTAATATAATCACTGCACCAGGTAGGCCAGATGGACATTAATAGATGGGCTTAACTTCGTGACGCACACCTGCACATCAGTTAGATCCAGTGCAGCGCCTCAAAGTCCTGTTTTTTATGAGGCATTAACTTTCCCTTTTTGTTGACACTGCGCACAAGTGTGGGTTTATCTCCATGGCAGTTGTGATGGCAGAGTGACTCTGCTCGAGACGGACACAATATTGGAGACACCCTGGTAGGAGTCCTATGTCTCCCACATCTTCCCCCTGCACAATCTGAACATTATAAACATGCATCTATATAGGAATTGTTCAGTCGGATTGCAATGCTGGCTGTGTACTGAGCACTGGTGGTTTAAAAGCCTGGATCGACACACGTGCAGAGGAGAATGTAGAGCGATGCTGCCATCTGGTGGGCGTCGTCGGCTCCTGCGTGTTGGGATTTCCTTCAACGCTGCCTTGATAGTAGCATTTGTCACCCAGTAATAGCTGATCTGTGCAAACGTGCCAGGTCAAGAGACAGTGGCATTGCTGTAACAACTGACATTTTTTTTCACATAAAGGTTCGACTTGTCAAAGCAGGAAAAGGGCCCAACTGTATTAAAATATCCCAGGAGGAAGTTGTGGGTGTAGACGAGTCAGCATGCACAATACCAGGAAGCATACACCGAAAGCAGCTAAACTGAAAGTCTGCATTAATTAGTACTGTCAAAGTGTGTTATGTGAAAAATACCTGTTAAATATTAGGGAATAAACAACAAAAATGTACTTCATCCCTAAAAATCTCGCGGCCCTTTGCCTTAAAACTGTTGCCTCTTGGAAGTGAAGAGATCTCATAGGGGATGAAAATTCATTTGAATTTGTCCCACTTAAACACGCACAGCGAGGGAGATGTGAATCAAGCACAATCCTTCCACTCTCACTGTGTTGACAGGAGGGGAAACCCAACAAAATCAGTCAAACCACCTGAGTCGGTACCAGAGCTTTAGGCATTGGAGCCAATTGTTGTATTGTGACAAATGTCGCTCGCATTCACACACCTCACTTTGTGCTTTAGCATCACCCACTAAAGTCCTAAAACCCCTAAACAAATAATGGACGGACGAATTGACATTTAAGACAAGGGACCCCTTTCACTGCAGCGTGACGTCATTGCTGGTAAGGCTGGCGCGTGCTTCTGCGTCGTTGCGTCGACGCACTCGTTTCAATTCATGGTTCTAAAAGTTTTGCGTGTGTTGCAGAGCGATTCACCGCCAGAACAACAGGCGGAGTGACGTGTTTCTGTTGAAGACGACCTAGAGGGTCACGTCTTTGTGTGTGGAAGTCGTTGCTTTGTTTATTTATTTATCATAGACTTTATTGCCGCGTGCATCGCCACTGCTGCTTTTCATCGCGGACACATTTGTCCCGTATTTTCCTCCACAACTTTGTGCACCTCTCGATCGGGAAGTGGTCACATTTACGCATTTCTTCCGACCGCTGCTAGAAAAATGGGTCGACGCACGCAAGCACGCAAGGGACACGCAAGGGGCTCTCTCTCTCTTTGGGTCGCCCTGATAACGCAGAAGCATAAACTAGGCTTTGCTCGTGGGCCTTTCCCGCTGTCACATCCGAAACATACTTTAAATCTATTAAAGTTGCATCGACCATTTTGCAAACAAATACGTGTAAAACCTCGTTTTTCCAGACCGACAGTCGTCCCGGTGCAGCTTTACGGTGTTCTCTGGCTGACGCCGGTTACGCTGCGCTCGTATTGCGCTCATTACGGCCAAGCGGCACATGACAACGCAACGGCTCTGCGCGCGCGCGAGAGAAAGGGAGCGAGAGAGCGAGAGAGGACACCCGGTTTCACCTCCACCTCCATCACCGCCGAGCAGCGCGGATGAAACACCGACCACACTCGGAGGCGCACCAGGGGAAAAGGCCCCGCGTTCCCGCAGACTCCGCCGCCGCCGCCGCCGCACCGCCGGACGGGATGGAGGACAAAGCGCCGTCGATTCCGCGGGAGCTCACCCAAAACCCCCTGAAGAAGATCTGGATGCCGTATAAAAATGGCCTTCCCGAAACGCACATTTCGCAGAGAAAGGGTGCGTACGACGACGTGGCGGCAGCAGCTTTGTTGGCGTATTTGTTTGAACGAGCATCGGCGGGCACCGATCGACCGCTCCGCCCGTGTTGTTTACGGGATCGGGTCCGGAAGCGCCGTGGCGGTGTAAAGACGTAGCGCTAATCCGCCCGGCATGTGGCATGTTACAGCCCGCATCTCGACCCGCCGCGAAGTGCCCGATGGCGCCGCTGCGGGTATTCACGCACACGCGTCGCCATCTCGGGTCCTTGTGCGGGGACTCGCGCGATGCATCCTTACGTGACGCATGTCGGCGAACCCGGATCGTCGCGCAGTGTTTAGCGGCGTTGTTTGACTGCGGGTTCTCTTGTCCGTTTGGTCCGCGTCTCCCACTGCAGCCCGACCCGAGAGGACACTTTAGCCATAGATTCGTCATGAGCTTGTGGCGAAACGAGAAACTGTTGTTGTTGTTTTTTGTTTAATGCATGCACCGGGACACACTTTTCCTGGTACTTAGTGAAGTATTTGTCCGCTACCTTTACACACAGGGAGTGTTAAAATTGACATCATGTTGCAACTAAATGTGAAGTCGTACCCATGGAGACTCTCTCGCTCTCTGACCCATTCATCTGTGCACACACCGCGTTTCACAAGTCCCCAGGGACCTCTGCTAGTGGGGGACCATATTCTCCAAGAAAGATATCGCAGGATTACTCACCCATGTACTTTAATTTATGACTCTTCTAAATGTTGTAACGTGCAAGATCGTTTCCGTGCAAATCTTTGATAGATGAGCGCATTCAAACAATATTTAACTAAAGCCTTTGGGGTGAACTAATGCCTGTGGGGAGGCGTTTCCCTTTGAGAGCCTGTTGCATGATGCGTGTCTTAAGCTTTCTGTCCTCTCCACCTCTCATTGCAGTATGTATGACCAACTGTCCCACCCTGATCGTGACAGTGGGTCTTCCCGCCAGAGGGAAGACCTACATCTCCAAGAAGCTGACCCGCTATCTCAACTGGATCGGCGTGCCCACTAGAGGTACGGCTTCTCGGGCTTCAGTGAACAATCCCTTAATTCCT